GTTCAAATGATTCTCTCCGAGTCAAAGCAACATCCTTTGGCATTTTAATGGAAAACCTGTCGTAAACTGGTATCTAAGCTTGTACACAAAACAAACGTCTTCAAAAGGCACCTCATATCTTCAAAGAGTCGCAAAGAAGGGGGGGATCTCTCTGCTCTGCTCGTCCAAGAGACACCAATCTTTCTTCGCATCGCTCCAACCGACCTGCCAGTTCGAGGCTCCTGGCGCAGCTAAGAAGACCAGGGCGTTCCATGAGGAGTATACGGCCCACCGTCCTCCCCACACCTCGGGAAACACCGAACGGCCTCAAACCGGGAGAAAACACACCGAACCCAACGGTGTCTCCCGGCCGACGGACGACGCAGCGAGTCCTGCAGCACAGTCGAAAGGAGCGGTCGTGACGCTCAAACCAACATCGTGAAGATGGTGATCTATTCTGACCTTGGCGTCGCTACGACTGAATTTAACACACTGGCAAATTGGAGAGTTCTCCAAAACACGGACGTCGATGACGATTGATGGAATGACTGGTGCAGGTATGGTGGAATACAACCTCTTTTGAACAAAAACACATTGGCAGCCAGGCATAGCTTGGAATGAGCAGCATGCATCAAAATGAACATGGCAGAACTCCCACAGGCCGGTGCTGGCTTCTCCAAGCGACGTTGATCCAGGAGATCACGCGGAATGTCACAAAGACCCTCGGTGCAGAAATGAGTCATGACCGCGGGGCGTTTGCGCTGGAACGGCCTCAAAGCCCTCAAGTTGATTGCACACATCTTACTGAAGATGACGTGTCGCAAACGTCGTTTCATGCTGGGCTTCCTGTCATCATATCGTCTTGATGCCAAGAACCGCAAAGAAATCCAGATGATTTCAGACAAGAGTCGCAGCGATTAGCAGCCAGCACACCCTGAGCCAATTCGGGCGCTCGAGCTTCAATCTGTACCAGGCAACTGATGCATCTCACAAGACAATTCACTTACCACTTGGGATTCTTGAGCAAGCCAACATGTCTGTTAAGACTGCTTGGCAAGCCAGCTGAACCATGCTGAAGCACTTGGACAGCTGATATACAGTAACTCAATCTCAGATGTCCACCGAATACATTTTGCCTTGGGAGATGCTTCACGGAACCTGCATGGAACCCCTTGACATTCTCGCTCAGGAGATGCGCGGTGTCGCCGATGAGAAATCTCTCCGACATTCGCCGGCGATCTCTCTCGACGCGGAACGTGAAGACCGTGAACGAAAAAACACCGACGTGTCACAACATGTGGGCCACAACAACTCCCCCGACACCGTTTTGTTTTTGTTTTTTCGTTTGGGTGCCTTTCTTCGTTTTTGAAAAGACATCTAATAAGAACCAAGGACCCTTTCTTTGTTTAGGCTCGAACTTCCCGTTTTTCCGGCCCCCGCTGGCAGCCCGAGTGACCCACAGGCGATGCACTCGGTTCGCACTCCAAAGATGGGAACCTGCGGCTTGCGTTTCGTTCGTTCGGCATTCGCTAAGTCAATGGTTCGCTGCGAGACAGTCTTGGGGAACCAACAAACACAGAACACATGCTAGTCTGTCCCTCAAGTTCACCAACTGTTGCGAGTTTAATCAAGCTTCGATCAGTTGGCAAAGCCTTGTATCGTTGTGCGTTCGAAAAAGCATTGGTATGGCATAAATATGCATAAGTCGCATGCGAGTAAACACCTGGTCGACTTGGCCCTGGTTCGTCCTTTGACTGGTGTGTCTTGAACCTGTAACTTAAGGCAAAGACTGGAGAACGTGCGGGGAGAGGAGCTACATGGCGCTGTTCGCTGTTTCAAGTGAACTCTTCCAGGAATTGGAACAATTTCTGCAAGAGCTGCAGAAAGGGCCCTGGCCAGGGCCTTCACCAAAGACAGAAGCTTTCAGAAAGAGTTCTTGCATGTTGTTGCCAGAATCTCCAGACCATTCCAAACCAATCCAAACCTTTGTCTTGCTCCTGAAGTCTTGAGGTCCCTGGCCTTCTCCTTCTCATAAGAGCCGAGATGGTCACCGACTGGAACAAACTCCACTTGCCTGGGTCAACGGAGGTTCTTGTTGCGACACGGCGGGAACGGCCAAACCTGGTGCTTTCTTGGCCTTCGTTGGGACGAACCCGTTCCGCCTCGAGGACGGTGGATGACCGTGTTTCACGTGTTGGATGACCGTAACAGTCCTACTTGGGAGTATCATACTTGTCCCTGTGGATGATGGTTAGTAAAGGCCTTCCTCCTCCAAAATACCGTGATACTTGTTTACCAACTGTTACAGGTAGTGGGACACCCCTAAAGTCGATCCAATTTCCAATTTCCACGTCTTCTGCGGACAGGACGCGCCCCGGCTCCGTGGGTATCTCTACGAAGAGTCCGACCGGCAGAGTCCGACCCTGTCCGGGGCGATGCCGTCGGGATGTTCGGCTGTTTTTCAGACACGAGTGTCCTCTGTATGATGAACAAGCAGACGTGTCCTCACGGCATGTTCTCCAGAGTGTCCGTAGGGCATGGGAGTGTCAATCGAAATTCTCTATATGATTCTCCGCCCTTGGCTGAAGGGGAAGGTGGACGCATTCCTGCAACACGACAAACGACAACAGCTATTCCACCCAGTCCAAAACCCACCCCGGGCCCTGAGACTCGGCCCGGACGGTTCCCAAATGAGCTGTCGGTGTAAGCCATGTACTCCGAGGGTCAGAAGGCATCCAGTCGGACTCCGATGGGTTTGCATAAGGAAACCCATTTGATGGGGGGGCCCCTCCACAGCTTCCACCCAGATTGACCCTGTGAACAACATGGCCCCTACGTGTTCAGTGTCTGGGATTCTGGAGTCCATCACACCGCACTGCACCCGTCGGACAAACCACCCAGTCCTCCGCAGCCACCCAGTCCCATCCGATAGTCCTCCGCCCAGCGGCGCACCAGGAAAAGCTCCTGGGGTGACAAGGGGTGAAGTGGACTCGGTCAAGGGAGTCTGGTTGGGAAGACTGGGAACAAGAAGCTACTAGGTTGGAGGCCATTACTACTAGTAGCTAGAGTCTAGAGGCTACTAGGTCTGGTAGGAAGGAAGAGCACAAGCGGAAGCGAGTTCACCGCAAAGCCTCGACGAGTTCATGGCTCTTTGACGGAGTGGTCTTCATGTTTCTGTCTTTCACTGAGTGGTGATTAAGATCCTCAACTAATTAATGCCTCATAGATCCATTGAGTCCATTCTCAACTGGTCACACCAGTCAGTACCACCCTTTTTCGTTCACCACTTCTCACCATCTCCCAGCCATGCCATGCAACACAAACCTCGTAACCGGTCGACCGTGACCCCTCATCCAAGAATCCCCCATCACTCCCATCAACAGTCGAAGAACTTCGACCTCACTCACTTCTTCAACACACCAGACCCTGCCCCCGCACCCCGCACCCCTTCCCCAGCGCCCGCGCCACCCACCTGTCACCTTGACCGTCCTTTACCTGACCTCGGGTCGTTTCTCGCGCCTGGAAGGCTCTGAACGCTGTGAGCGCTTTTCACGCTATGCACCGGCGAGCCGCCCAAGCTCACGGGCGCCTGGCAGTTTGACACGCTGAGCCGAGATGGGGAGAGCGGTGTTTCCAGAGCTGTGGATTTGGAGAAGATGAGAGACAGGTGAGGAGAATCATGTCTGATGTTTGGTTTCTATTGAGTTTATTCATGATTGAGCTCCTTTGATGCCTTATTTGCGTCCTCTTGTTCAAGGCCTTCCTTCAATGTTGTCTGCCTTTCTGCTCGTAAATAGAAAGCCCCTCTTTCAACAGGCTTCTGTGAACTCGACAAAATCCGAGCAAAAGCAAATCCTCTACCTGGTGAACCTATGTTGAGACACAGATGGAGCTTCCCTTGGTGGACATGATGGAGCTTCACGTCCACTTGGTCCCATTTCTCATTGGAGTCACAACTAGAACTCAGAACTGCTTGGGTTTCTTGGATGTTCATCGAATCACACACACATGCACTTGAACACTCCTAACCCAGAAAACAACTCTTTCGGCCCTCTTTGAAAGATGCTGAACAAGGCCAGAGTAGTTCTGAACAGATTGGCAGCTTCGTCTTCGCTCATCGAACCCCCTTGGGTTGGGCATCCCATCGCCCGTGCAGTCAGGCCACGTACTTCCCACGCGCCGGAGAAGTGCCGCAAAGCTGGGGGTCCCCCATGGCTTTCTGAATGGGTGAAACGCAGTTCGAGAAGCTAGCAAGGGGTGAACGGGGGGAACTCCCACTCCGCGTCACGCGAAACTGATCTAGCTCCCGGCCGCGTTTGGGGGGAAAGTCCCTTCATTTGGGCCGTTCGCAACGCGTTCCGTCGTTGCTGATGTTGCAGTGCAAGGGCCTCATTGCGGTCCAAAGTGATGCGTGGATGTGCAGCCATGGATGTGTGGATATGCCAAGTCAAACGATTGCGCGCTTGTATCCAAAAAAGGAACTTCTCCTTCCCTGATTTCACCTTCAGATGTCTCATCTTTCTGCTCGCCCAATAGAGAGCCTAGACTCCAGCGTCTTCCACTTTGGAAAGGCTGGAGATACTGAAAGCACACTTCTTCGCAAAAAGGCCGCGCAGCGAGTGGTCGGCGAGTCAGTCGGCGCGTCGCCGGCTAGCTCGGCGCGTAGCTTACACATGCCAATGCAGAAGAACGACGAGAGCACCGGTCAACGGCGCAGCACCGGTCAACGGCGCAGTCGTCACCCATCCACAAGCAAAAACAAGCAAACACCGGCCGCCTTTGCCTGTGGCCTGCAGGTCCTGGAGTTTCGGGCACAGCACGGCATCTTTCTCCGAAGAACAGGACCCATCTGGCATTTCATTTCGTCTATCTATTTCCTTTCCCACATCTTGGATCGAATTTGTACAACTCGAAACCGAGAAAGAAGAACTATTCCCCGGATTCATCGGAACAATGAACAATGAACATCGCTGATTCCCTTGGATGCCATCGCTCTCTTCGCTTGGAGGCCGCTCGTGAACCCACTGGGCCACCCAGACTGGCGCAGAGGACGAGCCCGACAAGGCCTCGAGTCTTCCGAAGGGAAGGCGTCGCAGGCACTTGTTACTACTAGCGATGCACTTGTTTCTACTAGCAAACATTGTTACTACTAGTAAGGCACTTGTTACTACTAGCGTGGCACTTGTTACTAATAGCTTCTTGTTACTACTAGTAAGGCACTTGTTACTACTTGATGAAGGCCTCGAGTCTTCCCAAGGGAAGGCGTCGCAGTGACGACTCCGTGACGACGCGACGACACCCGTCGACTTCCCCGAAACGGGTTTGAGGGAAAATGTTTACCGATGCGTTTACATGTAGCATCCGGACTACTTGTGAACCTCTGGGTCGAACAACTCTACTTTTTCTATACTTCCTGGTCGGTCGCACTTCTTCGTTTCTGGGAACACACACATTGTTGATGAAGTAGTAACAAGAAGCTACTAGGAACAAGTGCATCGCTAGTAGTAACAAGTGCCTTACTAGTAGTAACAATGTTTGCTAGTAGAAACAATATATAGACTTCAATTTAATTCTAATAGCTTTTTGTTACTACTCGTAAGGCACTTGTTACTACTAGCGTGAAGTCAAAAAATGCTTCGGAACTGCGGAACCGTTGGGCGTTGACCCGTTCGCCGTCCTGAGATGCCCCGCTGACCCGTTCGCCGTGCCCGCGTTGGGCATGTTGTGCAATGGTGCACGTCTCAAGCCTTCAGTGGGCATGTGTGAGAGCCAGGTCACAGGAGGCATGTCGCTTGCATCCAAATTGGGTTCAATCATCCATATGTGCCAATCAACCATATTATATTCTTTAGTTATAGAAGCTTTGCCACCAAGTGGTTCTGATGTCTTTTGGGTGCTCCATTTCCTTTGATTTCTTGCTCACTCTCGCCAGAGGTCTCCGGCACTCTGACCGGCTTTTGCCCCGAAGTCATGAGTTTACCCCGCTACGGGTGTGAAGAGGTGGACTTGGATCCCTTCATCAGGACATGCGCCATAAAAACCGGCGGTCCACTGTAGGATGCACAAAAACTGCGACCCTCAAGACATCATCACACAATTTATTTAAGCTAGCCATGAGCGACCAGCACTCTCTTCACCGAGAGGCAGTATGTATGAAAGTCTTCCAGTCTTCCAAATCGATATTTCTCACTCCCTCTCATGACGTACCATGAACCTACTGCAACCGCACTCTGATTTTGCGGGTATTACGGTAATACATGAACCAGACCATACTATGCAATGGTTCTTGCTCCAAAAACACACGTGCGTAGGAACCTTTCTCGCACGCCGGCCATCCTCCACCCTTTGGCCAGAAAAACACCTAACGTCGCTTCGCAAACCGGTGTCGCATCGCTTTGGCACGCGGAACGCGGAACGCGACGCTGGGCCCTCCCGGACGGCGCGGTCCGGCTTTCTCTTGGGCCCAAAGCTCGGAGTCCTCGTGGGTCCACGGCTCGTCCCGTCGGACGTTGGGACCGACGGAACTCGTCGGTGTTGGGGTTGGCGCGTTTTTGGTTGGCAAGGTTCTAGGCATGAAACAAAGTTAAGTGGTTCTCAGGAAAGTTGGAGACATGGGATGAAATGGCTATGGATTCTCTCTCTGGTGGTGGATCATGGGATTAGTAGGATACAGGGGTGTTGTGCCGGTTGGTTAAAATCACAGCTCGATGCACTTGAAAAGCCCATTATGTCATATAGCATTGGTGCCAGAAGACAGTGTGAGTTCCTGTTTTGGCATGGCTTGGAGCCACAAATGTCCAATGGCTCTGGCTTGGCTTCGCCCCCCCAGCTCTCTGGACACGAAAGCCCAGCCCATGAGGTGTTCGGGCAAAACATCAGTGGCTCCTCCGTCAGAGGCTGCTTGAAACAGGTCGCTGCAGGGGTCGAGGGCGGTGGAAGCCTCATGCTTTGACAGATGGCCAGGCTGGTGGCAGCGAAGCGAACGGGAAAGCGAACGGGGGAACAAAGGCCATGACAAGTGGTTTCCGGAATCGTCTCATCAAAATACTACAAAAGGAGGGGTGGATTCTAAGGGTCATATGAGCAGTTCTATACCAGGATCTACCAGGCTATGATGAGTATCCGGATCTGCTAGATGTTCAGGGAGTGCAAACTGATTGCATGTTTTGGGCATCCCGTTGGTGTCAGCTGCTGCTGCCTTTCAACCGTGTTTGGTACACTCCATCAGACGGTGACCTTTAAAGGTTCCAACGTTCGTGCCGAGGGACACACTTGTTTAGGAACCGATGACCCAAAGGAAAGGAACATCGGCGGACCAAAACATGGCGAACCCTCCTCTTACCAGTCTTACCTCTTGGTCTCTCTTGGTCTTTTCGAAACTGAAAGCCGCCCGGCATCACCCGGCCCCACAGACCCTGGAGCTACCAAGGTCCTCCTTCGGCCGTTCGTCCACGGAAGTTGCTGCTCTCACTGGGTCTCGCCACAAGGCGCGAGCAAAGGATCGCTTCTCGCCGGTGGTCGCCCACTCCAACCAGGCGATCCTCAAGCGGAAGGGCGGACAAGGAGACCGTCATAAAGAATGAAGGGGACCCAAACAAACTAACCGTTTCTTTCTTCATGACTATGAGTTGAATGCGGGGGCCTCATCGCCACAGCAGGATGCAGAACATGTGGCCACTTTACAACTCAAGCACCTCCCGCACTTTCACACTCCGCCAAGGTCCAAAGCTCCTCATCTACCCAATGGGATGCAGACCGAAGATGACCGAAGGACCATTTGGGGCGCCCAACCGCCAGGCAAACCACTCCGACTGCTTCTGCATGTCTTGCTCCAAGCTTCGCGTGTGTTCCTCCGCGTGTGTTCTGGTGGACTTCGATGGCTGAAAAACTCCAAAACGGTCTGTGACCGGACCATCGTTTTGGCGTAAACATGTCCAAAAATCCTTGGCAGCCCGAAGGTTGCCGGAATTCCTCGTCCTTGTGCTTCAGGTGACATTGACTAAGAGGTTACTCAGCCACCCCGCCAAACATGTAAAACCATGTAAAAACACACAACAAATCAACTCAAATCATATGTCCCGTGGCTCAAAACCTGGAGCCCAGACCTACCACGTAGCGAACGGTATGACCCAGTGCCGATGGTCGTTTTGGCCAATGGACATCTGATGGGTGAAGCTGGAGCCGCCATCCAAGGCCATCCGGGCCTCGGCTTTCACGAGCCTGGTGGTCGCCGACTCCTGGCAGCACATGGAGCAAGCATGAAATTTGGAAACTGGGCCATCTCTTTGGTGTCGACTTCTTATTGTGTCACTCGTGTCACTCGTGTCCCACCCCTTTTTCCACATTGCATGTCTGCCTCTCATGCTGTCTCCAACGTCGCACCGTCGCACGGTCGCACCGTCCATGACGTCGCGTCGCTGAGGACGAGGCCAAGTGGACCACACGTTGCGTCAAGCTCTGCTCGATGCGATCTGCCCGGGTCGCTGCAGCCTGCGAACTGGGAAGATCGCGAATGCTTTAGATGATTGATACCTTGGATTCATCTCCGGTGAAACATGCAACAACACCTGGGGTTGAAAGGGAACTAGAACTATATATTGCAATAGGGATGCAATGAAGATTCATTTTTGAAATGGGTTCGCGGTGACGCTGGTGATCGCCGTCTAGTCCATTCGGAGAAAAAAATGGGTCGATGGACTGGGGCCGTGGGTGACTGGGTTGGGGATGACTTGTTGAAGGTGTCAGAATTGCGCTGCTCCAAAATTGGAGGATTCCTCTAGTCTTCTTGACTTTGTTATTGAGTCGCACCAGAACTGCTGCGGGCACCTCTGCGTGGCTATGGAGCTCCTTCCAAATCGCCTCCTAAAAGGGCGTTGGCACGACCAGCCGCTCACAAAAGAGATCAGGTCTGCTTCTTGGGAGACATGGGAATCTGCATGAGAGGGGGAACAAAGGTCGTTTTGCACACTTTTTGGATGGCCTTTCAAACCACTGGGCACAAAACATGCATCCTTGCTTTTGGCCATCACCCTAGGTTGGAGGCCATCGCCAGTAGGTCGAGTTTCGAAAGAAACTGAGGCGCCAAGCGAGGCGTGCTTCGTTCTTGTCGTCCAGGTCTTTCAAGATGTGTTCCGGGATCACCACCTCCGTGCGTGTCACCGTCTCGAAACATCCGGGTGACCATCCCGCCAAGGTTTGGCCCAGCTCTTGGCATGATACACTCCCTGGACGTCATGGAAGTAAGGGGCCATGCCATCCACTTCCATCTTAATTCCAGGGAGTGTACCGTTGCATAATTACATCTCACATGGGACGTCACCTCTGTCTTGGGTCGCTACTCCATTTGTCGTTACTGCAAGGGAACGGAGTCCATTTTGATGCTTCTCATTTCCACATCTTCATTGATCAAATTAGCACCAACCAAGGGCCCACCCGACCACTCCGCAGTCACAAAGACACACCTCTTTCTTCAACTCCTGCTGCACGTGAAGAATCGCCTCCTTCACCACCTACGACGACTGAAAAGATTTCGCGGGGTCGAGAAAGGCTCCAAAGGATTGAGGCATGTAGACGTTTTGATAATCTTTCAACCCCCATGTGGCTTGTAAAGGATTTTTTTTATTCATATGTAATTTGACAAAGGACAATGAAGGACCTTGTCGTTGAGGGCCACACCCACTTTGAGGGACACCCATAGTGTCTGCATGACATTCAGAGTTCACATCTACGCAACGCTGCTCCCTGGGGTCCCTGGGGAATTCTGTTGCTCCCGGTGCCGCCCATCGAGTCCCACCTGCATGTCTTGCCCAAGCTGCTTCAACCTGCCACAATGGTTTTGGCCGTGACAGCAAAATGGCCCGAACCCAAATAAGTCCTTCTCAAAACGAAATGCGAACTGCAAGGTAGGAAGGAACAGTGACAACCTACGCAGATTTGCAATCGAGATGGCATCGGATTTACGGTGGATTAGGAACGGCACACATCTCACACGGAAATTGGAACAAGAGGGTCCTCATCCAAAGTGAGTTTAAGGTCCGTCTGCTTTTGCATCTACTTCGGTCACTCATGGTCGAAAACCAGCGGGTTTCACCGTCAGATCCCTTCCCCACACGAATGCAGAAAGATGTCCCCCAAGTTAGAGACGGATTCGGAAACTAATCGGTCGGATTCTGAAACTGGGATTCTGAAATTTGTATTCTTAAACTGGAAAGTCAGATTCTGCAACTGGTATGTGTTCTGAAACTGGAAAACCATGTTCCAAAAATTGTATTCTGAAACTGGAAAGTCAGATTCAGCCACTGAAATTCTGCAAGTGGTATTCTGACATTCTGTCACTGAATTCTGAAACTGGTTTTCTGAAACTGGAAAATGAAATTCTGCAGCTGCGGTTCTGATACTGGTATGCTGAAACTGGGTGGTGAGACTCTGCAACTGGTGCTTTAAAAGTCAGATTCTGATTCGGTTTATTGAAACAGCGAAACTGCAAAGTTGGATTCTGAATCTGGGAGTCTGAAAACATGTTGAAAGTGGGTTTTGGAAAGTACGTTTTCCGAAAGAGTGCCTAGCATGGACTTGTTGAATTTGGCTTCAGAACACCAATTTGAGAATTTACAGAACCCAGCTTCAACCCCATAGCTTACAGCCCTTGGAAAGGATAAGGAAGGATCTAGGAAAAAACTGCATCGTGAATTTCATTATTGCGTCACACTCTCCGATCATGGTGCCCAAAGAACGCTGCTGAACAGCATGGTCCCGTCCAACAGGCACTTACGATGCGGCTCGATGGAATCTGTGACAATCAAAGATCATTGCCGCTGCACTGTTTTCAGCTTGCTCTTCACGAAGTCTCCTCTTCCCATGCTTTAAGTCAGCAAATTAAAGTTGAGGGTCCAGATGGGCACCCTTCGAGGTCACTCTGGTTAGGCATTTTTTGCATTTTGGAAATTGTTTTGATCATAGTGAATCATTTTTTAAGCATAAAATTGTCACAAATAAGATTTAGAATGATTAGGAATTACTCAAATAAGAGTAAAAATGACTCAATAATAACTACTAGACATGATTTTGAACAAAGTTCACCAACGAGTAAAAGTATGCGTGAACCAAAAGTGTTTTCACGAGTAAGTCCACGAGTGAAGCCACGAGTGAAGTTGCAGTGAACTTGCAGACAAAATGAAAGTTCAACATAGCCTTTACGATAAGTTGACAAGCCTAGCAACAAGTCAACTTACAAAATACAATCAAATAAGTACTAAGGACAAACGGTTCCTTTACGATAATCGCTCCTGGCCTCGTTGAAAGTTTTTGACCTAACCTAGTAAGTTTTGGCTGAAGAGCTCTGTGCTGGCCCGGGTTGTGACAAAGTAAGGTTTTTGCAAGGCATTGGAAAGTTTTTTTTGAAAGTAGTCAAGCTTTAACTGTGCTGGCAGGGATTGTAAAATTATTGAATAGTAGCTAGTAAGTAAGTAAGTAAGTAAGTAAGTAAGTAAAGTTCACTGCAGTTCATTGATTGACTGGCAAACTCTGCAATCAGATTGAGTTCCCAACAGGCAAACCCACTTTCTCATTCTCACAAGGGCCTTGCCTTGGGTCACGCTCCTATTCAGACACAAAGACCCACCACACACTGTTCGTTAATCAAATCAAACATATGCATTACTCTTGCGTGCGAAGCACGCCCAACAACACAAGATCAGCTCCATCACAAGCATTCATTATTGCTATTGAACCAGTGCTGTAATCATTACTCTTCACTCCTCTTCCGCGGGAAGCGCGGACAACTTTTTTTGAAAGCGCGTCTTGAGACCAAAGGCACCACTGAGCCAGCCAGCAGTGTCACGATGATGGCACTTAGGTTTTTTGAAATTCCAAATCAGCTCAAATCAGTTTGAAATCACTTTATATCTTATTTGTACACTTTTTTGACATAAACGTGCGCAAAGCTGATGTGCCCTCAAACTTAATCACCAATAAGATTTGAAGTGCACTGAAGTGCACACAAGTGACACAGAAGTGCACTGAAGTGCATGCAAGTGACAAGAAAGTGCACAAAGCTGACATTTGCAAAATCACACAAGTGACACCACAGTGCATCCATGTGACAAAAAGTGCCAAAAAGTGCAACTTCAGCTCCGGAAAATAAAAACCCAACAGTATTCAACTAGTATTCAACAGTATTCATTCAGTATTCATTCAATATTCCAGTACAAAATACTCCAGCTCCAGTATCCATTCATTCAGAGAAAGAGCAACAATTTGCAAATGCAAATCCTCCAATTGCCACACTGACACGCAAGCATGTATAAGTACTGTTACACACTGATCTCTAATAGCTGGCAGTAACATCAAGCACAGTCACAGACTTCAGCAGCAGCAACTGAGGCACAGTGCCCTTCAGCAAAAGCAATTAAGAATGTAAAATTGTGATAGTCGGTCAGCTTGCATTTAGTTTTGTGCCTACCATATCAAGTGACTCATGAATCAATGAATGTCAGCCAGTGAAGGTTCCACCACCCAAAGGTTTAGTTGGTTATGAAACTCACAACTTGAAACAAGTTCTTCTAAAAACACATTGAAGTATCAATAGTAGTAATACTCTCAAATGCTAACAAACACTCATAACAAGATGAGGATGACAATGAAATGCTGACTTTCAACAACAGTAAACTAAAGCATTACTTGTCAGCCTTTTAATGTTCAGAAACAAAAGTGACAAATACACTTTTTGCATTTTCAAATCACTTTGATCATTTTAAATCGTGTTAAATCACTTTTTTGCACAAATAAGATTTTATAAGCTTCAAATAAGAATAAAGATGATTCAAATGTGATTCAATGTGATGTTAGTTTGCTTGTAAACAAGGGTGACCTGGAGAAGGGTGCCCATCTGGGCCCTCAACTTTGATTGGGGGATTAAGCATGGCACGGCGCAATGTTTTCGTGAACACTGAAGCATTCGATCTATAGATCGGCAGCTTCAGGCTCTTGGCTTTCACCTTGCTGATTCCACAGCGGCTCAACTGGAGCACCGCATCGAACCTTAAGCGCGGGGCACCTGTCTGTTTATCTACCTATCAATCAATCAGTCAGTCAGTCAATCACCCAATCAGTCAATCAATCAATCAGTCAGTCAATCAATCAACCAATCAATCAGTCAATGCCAACCAATCAATATCAATCAACCAATCAAATCAAATCAAGTCAAAGCAAAATCGAAATCAACAATCAATCCAAATCAATCAATCAATCAATCAACCAATCAATGATTCAATGTCAACCAATCAGTCAAATCAATCAATGAATCAATCAATCAATCAATCAAACCAAGCAAATCAAATCAAATCAATCAAATCAAAACAAATGAAAATCAAATCAATCAAATCAAAGCCAAAATCAAAATCAAATCAATCAAATCAACCAACCAACCAATCAATCGGTCGATCAATCAATAAATCACTCAACCAATCAATGAATCAACCAATCAATCGATCAAGCCAATCAAAATCAGTTAATAAATCAATCATTCTGTCTGTCTGTCTGTCTGGCTGGCTGGCTGGCCTGCTGTCTGTCTGCCTGTCTGTCTACCTAGATTTTACTTATATACATACATTTTTTGTATAAGTCGAATCTTTCATGACATGCGTCACGTTGACAGCCGCGGTGGCTCCATTGGAAGAGGTTTTACGCTCTAAATGGGGGGTTATGAACGAAGAGGCTACATCAGTGTAGAAGACTGAACCATTGCTTAGAGGGTACCAGCGAACACACACACGCACAGCATCCGTGACTATGGAAACATCACGGACCAGGTGAACCCTTTGGTCTCAATGCCAGGCACCTAATGATCTTTAGCAAGGCCAGTTCCCGCCCCTGCGGGGGTTGGTTTACCTTGCGAACAGCACACTCCCCTAATCTCAGCGACAGTGCACGGCTTGACTGGACCATGACTATTCAACATTGCAAGGGGCGCTGTTCGGTTCCGTGTGTCGTGCTGAGGGCTCCACCGCAGTGTCTGCGCCCTGCTTGAACAGCAGCCATGCTGCTTCCCACTTTTCATTTTTGGCTTCTCGTTTCTTCTCACGCTGCGCATCCACACGCTTCCACAAGTTGGACATAGTCAGCCAATGTCAGCCATGTGCTTCTAGGTGGGCCCTTTCCGCGGTCGTGTTGAGGAAGAGGTCATCGCAGACATAGGTGCCATGCGGATAGCGGCCGGCAGCAAACAGCTGAGCTTCATGAAGGTGAGGCATGTGCAAACTGCTTTTTGACGAGTGGGAGCACCATGCTGCAGTTCGGCGTCAAAGCTCTGAAGCTTGCCAACTTCAAGCGCCCATCCGGAAAGCTGTGTAGGCTCAAGGCCTCAAGCGCCTGCCAAGCCGTCGCGGTCTTCCAGCTCGGAGCAAAGCAGCGAAAGCAGTGTGAGCCTTGTCGTCGATGACCTCCCTTGGCCGCCTTGCCACACAGCCGTCCACATGCCATCCTGCAGGCTCAAGAGGCATGTTCGAATCCAAGTCAGCAGAGGGAACCTTTTGGCCACCGCCAGATCTGCAAGGATCTGCTCCCAGAACAAGTGGACGCACAAGGGCGTCGGCAGGAAGGCCCTGGCTAAGTACGTTCAGCACCATGTGACGGAGATCTCTGCGCAGGGAGACTTTCGGGAACACCTGCCAAGATGTTTAGACTCCGAGCCAGAAACGTGCAAAGGGAAACCGTCCTGTGAAGAGAAGACTTTACTCATCCACAGCTCCATTATGTATTGAAAGTAGTTGAGAGTTGCAAGGGCTTTGCCTGTGTGCGTTGACCAAACCAGATCTGCCCACGCGCTGATGCTCTCTCTCAGCTCGTTTCCATTGGACTGGTAGTAGTCCATACAGGTAATCATCGCACACATGGGCGAAAGACTGTCTCATGCAGCGCTTTGACAAAAAACATTTCGATTGTCCTGAAAGCCTGTTTGCATGCCTTCAGGCATCTCGGAAAAGCGCTCCATGGGAAACGGAGCATGACACCAACAACGTGGTCTGCCATGAGGCCACAGTTTCAAGAACCCCCGGCACACGAGAACTAGGTGCCCTTGCTTTTGTCCAAGGGATTCGGCTCAAGTTGCACGGCTGCCTCTCAGTCAACCGAAACAACAAGGCTAAAACACAAACGGTCGCAACTTCTTGGGCCTGCATGGAAACAAGATGGAACCCACGAACCCGAATGGAAACACGTTCGAAAAACTACATATGTCCAAATGACACTCTTGTAGGACACTCTTGTGGGACACTCTTCTGGGACACTCTTGTAGGACACTCTTATAGGACACTCTTGTGGGTCAGTCTTGTAGGAAACTCTTGTGGGACACTCTTGTAGGACACTCTTGTGGGACACTCTTGTAGGACACTTTTATGGGACACTCTTGTGGGACACTCTTCTGGGACACTCTTGTAGGACACTCTTATAGGACACTCTTGTGGGACACTCTTGTAGGAAACTCTTGTGGGACACTCTTGTCGGACACTCTTGTGGGACACTCTTGTGGGACACTCTTGTAGGACACTCTTGTGGGACACTCTTGTCGGACACTCTTAAGGGACACTCTTGTGAGACACTCTTGAGCGACATTGTTGCGGGACACTCTTGTGGGACATTTTTGTGAGACACTCTTGTGAGACACTCTTGTAGGACACTCTTGTGGGTAACTTGCAGGACACTCTTGTGGGACACTCTTACAGGACACTCTTGTAGGACACTCTTAAGGGACACTCTTGTAGGACACTCTTGTGGGACACTCTTGTGGGACACTCTTGTAGGACACTCTTGTAGGACACTCTTGTGGGACACTCTTGTGGGACACTCTTGTGGGACACTCTTATAGGACACTCTTGTGGGATACCCTTGTCGGACACTCTTAAGGGACACTCTTGTGAGACACTCTTGAGCGACACTGTTGCGGGACACTCTTGTGGGACAGTCTTCCAGCTCCGCAGATACTCCGCGTACTAGAGTTGTACTACAAAGTCACCAGTTCTCATCTTCCAGCTCCTCATCAAGTCAACTCGTTGGCGCGCTTGGTGCCCACGGGCTACCTGAGAATCAGGTTCGGAAACCCGAGCGACATGAAGCTCTGCAACGCACCCAGCCTTCTGGATGTAAACTGCTTGCGCGTGGAATGGGGGCATGTCCACAATTGCCGGCGCAAACGGTATCCATTGACAACGCGCCACAAGGTGCGCATCATGAGAAGCCGCGTCAGTGGCCGCCATATCGGTCAGGATGCACCAGGGGTCAAAGGCCGCAGCGGACATGACCTCTTTTTCCTCAATGATCCACGCCAGACGCAAACACAATCGGTTGCTACGGTTACTGTCAAACCGGGTGCCCGGCTATGGCTTCCTTGAGCAATTCGTTTTCTGCGTTCAGCGCTGCCTCAGGGAAGGGGCGGCGCGAAAAAGAAAATCGTGTCAAATTGGCCACATGTACGCAAACAACGCCAAACATCATCAACGCTAGGCCCCCGGGCCAACTCTGATGCCATCTGCTCTTTTGCCATGGCCTCCCGCAAAAAAATGCGGGTCAGGTCTTCCGAAAACCTCACGCAGGAGCGATGCTGAAACGATCCTCTTACCTGTTTTTTTCGGCCTGCCTCGTCTTATCTTTCTTCGCCTTTGCATTGCTAAGGCGCCGGATGGCCGCTTGGGCCGCTTGCGCTGTAACTTGAACCGCCATTTTGCTGCGGCGCTCCACCCTGGATTCTCTGTCCGTGCGACTTCAAGCTTGTCTCCTGCTTGACTCCACTTCCACTTCGCTGGAGATCCAAGTTATCAATAGTCGTATACTTCGACAAATATGTTCTCACAAGGTATTCTGTTTAAATGCTCTCAGCATGTACTTGGCCCCAAGACCGTCCTGGTGAAGTTCTGGGTGGGAAGGTATAGTGAAGGACATGTGTCATGAGCAGATCCTGCCCCATCAGTGATGGTCTGGCTTGGCCATGGAACCTGCCAATGGCCCTGGTGGGACGCCGGTTCCAAGGGCGGTTTTTTTTTTGCCCCCTTTTTTCGGCGTCGAATCTGGGGCCACAATGGTTTTCTTTTCGGCCTGCAGTGCTGACACGGTGGAGGTTGCTCTGATCACCTTTCACCAAGGGTAAAAGAAAACTTGAGACATCTTGAGACTACTGATATCTTCCCAGGCCTACGCTTCCCTCGAAAAGGTGGCTGACCATCCGTCATGTTTTGGCTTTTCTGCTTGTGAAAGTCATAAGGGTAGGGTGATGGGCAGTAGAGTAAATTGACCAGATTTATTGGGGCATGTGCCGAGCTTGACTTCCTTTTCCAACTAATGATTGGACACGTGTGCCATGGTCAGAACTCGGTACATCGGCTATCGTCCTCCCATCCGACATAGGAACGCTTGTAATGGTCATTAAGCCTATGAACAATGTAATGACCCATTCCAGACAGAAAGTACCAGGGGAGGGTATCTGCGCAGCAGGTTTGCGCTATTCACCAAAACGTCAGAACTATCAGGACGACCTGCTGATCTCTTTACGCTTCAAGCAAACACAATTCTGCACACAAGCTACACAAGCATGAAGAACATCTCTCGATTCTCTTGAGTTTGGAGTCCGATGGAACAAGCCCGAAGGACAGTGATGCGTCAGCATCAGGTCGCACTTCCACACCTCAAAACACGCACAAAGTCCTGCGCCTGCCACGAAAAGTGACAATATTATCTCATGTGAGCTTCAACAAAATTTGCACCACACCACACGTTTGGAATGATTTCGACCTGTTCTGAGCATACTCCCATCCACCAAAATCGGCATTTCAGCTGAGACTTGTCACGAAAACAGAGCTTTGATGCCACACCCTGAAACGCAAATCCCAATGGCACGGCCACATCCAACACCCCAAAGACACGACTCTCCAAACGCTAATCCCAATGGAACTGCGCAGCAATCTGCAGATCTCACCAAACGCTGCGCTTGTGCAGCGAGACGCATCACGTTGCTTGCGCGACATGTCTTTTTCATGCAAATCACAATGGAATAGCGGCGCACACTGACACGTGACACATCCATGAATAGTCACTTGCAAAAGCTTCCCCCAATGGCAGCGCCTTAGCGCTCTACCGCGAACGGTTGCGGACGGTTGCGAACGGTTGCGGACGGTTGCGGACGTAGAAACAACGGATCGCGAACAAGGCTCTACCCCCCGACCCCCAAGAGTTAAACGAGAACCCTTCGCTACGCATTCGGGAAAAATGAAAAAACTGCGGACAGAAACGGTGCCAGCAACGAACGAACCGTGTGAGTCCCTCATAACATGAGGTCCGTGCATATGAAACAAATAACATCGAACACACCCCGTCCATGTCTGTAAAGAACGAATACGTGAACGGTCCATGAACACCGTGTGTGCATATGCAAACAAACAACATCGAACACACCCTGTTCATGTCTGTGAAGTACGAATATGTCAACGCTACATCACCACAAACATATCGTTAGATCCCTACCCCCCCCATCTGTGTATGTCTTGGATCCTTGGGGTCCCCCGGTGGTTGCTGCTCTATGCCCTGTTGCGGAACTCGACGTGGATCCACGTCCCACGGCTCAACCGTTATCCCGTTGCGTCCCACGGGGCGCCTTCCGTTTTCCAATTGTCGAAGCTTCGAGGCCAACTGCAACTGCTCCTTCTCCAGGGACTGGGTTCCCTGCAGCACGGCGGTTTCGGCACGGCGGTTGCGGTGTTCCGCCGTTCTTCTGTCTCTCGGATGTCCTTTTTTTGGCATGTGCTGCTGTGGAATCCACAGGGTGTCAATGGGATGCATCATCAAGCAGAAGCCCATTTTGTTGGACCAAGCTGGTGAGTATGAAACCAAGTTCATCATCAAGATCATAGCCACCAAGCTAGGCCTAGTACCAAGAACCTACTAGGGTGGAGGGCATCGCTACTGGGGTGGAGGCTGTCACTATTAGGTTGCAGGCCATCGCTACTAGGTTGGAGGCCATCGCTATTCGGTTGGAGGTCGTCGCTATTAGGTTGGAGGCCATCGCTAGGAGGTTAGGCTCTCCCAATTTCCACGTGCAAAGGATCATCATGGACCCTGAAACCTGAAATAACATGGCCGACCTCCCTCGCTCGCATCGCTGGTCACTTGTTCACAGCACCTCCTTGATCTGCGCTTGCCGCTTGGCCGCGGCCTCTTGGCTTGCTTGGACCACACCTTTGCGATGCACGGATCTCTCCCTGACCCGGGACAGGGATGACGGACGGGATGAACCAAAAAACCGCTTGGGGGTTGGGCCTGGCACATCGAATTCGCCTCCTATTCGCCTTATCGGGAACCTTCTAACGATGGAAAGACGCCGTTCGGACGCCTTGGACCGGACCGAGGCGGCGTCTAGACCCCTTCTCTCCCGGATCGAGTGCTTTGCGGAGGGTCCGTCGAACCTTAGAATTCATCTGACCCTCTTCTTGACAACTAACTACTCTTGAGTCATACTTCAAAACCAACACGAAACCAGCTTCGAAGAAACCTGCGAGCGTCCTGCCGAAATCGCAAGACACGTCCTGCCCGAGCGACGCATGTCCTCGCGAATGGCGTTGAGCTGCTTCCGCTGCGTCGCCTGCCACGGCGCCCAGAAAATCGGCCACGCGTTTGGGGGGATCTGGACATGTGAACGGGTGGAGAGACGTTCCCTCTCTCCAACCAAACCGTGACAACCGTGGATGGCCATGTCGGAAGACGGCCAAAACTCACATGGGGGTCCACTTCTCATGATTTGGAGGGTGATTTGATGTGATGATCTGATCATCCCCAAAACCGGCGAAAGCTATGGGACCAACGCTGGGTAGGGCGGTAGACCCAGTCTCAGAACTCGGAAGCGAACACATTTCGGTTGACCATCCAATTTCAACCATCCACAAGCAACAGAAGCGCATTGGCCATAGGATTTCATTCGCATGACCAAACCCCCAACCGATCGGCGCCTTGGAATGGACCGGTATGGTGCCGGAAACACTCGTTTCAATGCAAGGGTCGAGCCGCCTCGATCTGCAAGTTGAACTCCTCTTGTCGTCGCTTCAAAGACTCCAAGGCCTCTTTGAGCTTTGGCACCTGGATTTGATCGTTCGGCATTTCTTCCAAGATCAGGGAATCGTCCATCGTTGATTCATGACAAAAGGCCCAAGGTGGATTGATTTGCTTGGGCGGAAGTTCCTTTCTTTGGCTTTAACGCTAGGGGGGATTTAGATAGCTTCGTCTTTCATTTCTGTTCTCTCCAAGCCCATCAACCGTGGAACGTCACCTTCCCACACCAAAATGGCCATCCGATGCCATTCCATCCTGCTCCATCCTCTTCTCCCCTGCTGCCACGACCGGCCACCGCGCCTCGCTGAGGCTCTCGTTGCGCGCGCTGACCGCTTCGACGGTGCGAGTCACCGTGTCGCCTAGGCTCTGCACCTCCGCGGCGCGCAGCGGGGCGCGGAAGCGCCCTTTTTCGGGCGATCTGCCGGAAGAAAGTGTGCGTTGCTTTTGGGAAGATGTGTGGAATCAAAGGAAGAAGTACTGGCACTGGCATCATGGCTTCTTCTTGTTCTGGCTGATTCTTGGGTGGAAATTCGGTAAAGTCCGATGGACTGACATGCATTGCTACACTGCTACGCGTCCTTTGCTACACCCCATTCATTGAGTTCGTAGGATGATCGCAGGGAAGTTGCTCCTTTTGCAGATTGATTGGTTTCAGGATGGGATTACCGGTGCTTGAAGATGTTGAGACGCACCTGTTGGGATCACAGGATGTGATCACAGGCTCACAGGCTCTCATCGCCCCCTCTTGCGTGTGCCGTGCACGCGCGTGTGTAGCAGCTCAGCTCAGCTTCGCATGTCGCCTGCTTCTTCAAGTCGGAGACCTCAGCTTCTCTGGTCCCGACGTTCTCCACCTGTCATCGCACCGGCTGCACGACAGAAGTCAGAACAGGAACGGGGTGAAGAAGAAGATTGGACAGCTTGGACAACATGGTTATTCACATGATTCGAACACCCGGTGTTAAACCATGTGGGAGTGACGGATGACCCATAGTCACCACTTGTGGTCAAACCATAGTCCCCACTTTTCACCCTTCTTTTGTTCAGTCGAACCTTGGGCAGCTGTTTTGCTACGGGCACCCGACAGCACCTGGTTTTGGGGAGCGGTGTGGGCGCGGCGGTTGGGGGCCGTTTGGCGCGTTTGGCGCCTTTTGATGCAAGTCGTGGTGACTCTCTTGGAGCTGCTTCAGGGTCTCTGCGAGGCTCTCCACCTCTTCGCTCTTCCAAAGGCGAGAGGCGAACATCGCGTTCCAACTGAACTTGCTTTTGGTTTCAACGAACGTCCACAGAAAAACACACAGCAAATTCGCAACAAAACCGCAGTTGCGGAAGTTGGCCGTTGTCCTTTCGATGGCGACTCTGTTCATTTCGGGCCCTTCTTCCACACAATGTGGCCATAATTGACGTGGTGATGTGTGATGTGGTTCGGTGTCTCATGGTGAAGCTGGTACCGTTACACCGACCGGACCGTAGCCCTGCCAAAATGAGCGATACAAACTTCTTAATCTTCGAACAACACCCTTCGATTGCAGTTGAATTTTTCAGGCTTCTCCTTCATCCAGGGCACCTTCTGTGCCGGTTCTCCTTCATCCAGGTGCTGGCGCAAGGATTGGAGTTCCTCCATGAGATTCGCCACCTGCCAAGGTGGCTTCTCTCGCTCGTCTCCCTTTGTCATGAGTAAATCTACCCTCTAAGATCCTACAAAATGCTCGAACATGCAAGAAACACATGGAGATCAAATAGGGAAGCTGAAACCAAATAGCGCACTCCCACACCCTGCACAGTTCAAACGAATCATCGACACATGACATTGGTCCCATCACCGCGTTTCACCGCGGTGATTTGGGACGACTGTTGGGTATGATCCAACATCCCATTGCCCAGTTCGAACGATTTCTGCCTGGGGCTCTCCGTCGTCCACATGGCGTCTCAGGGATTGGACTTCTTCCGCCAGCTTCGACACCTCGTGCATCAGCGCGGAGCGTGCAGTGAACGCGGATGGATCTCATAGCTTCTTCCCACATGCTGGGCCAAAGAAAAGGGGTGGGTGCCAGTGAAACGTTTTCTTGATTCAAAAAGGTATGTAGGAAGTGTCACGAAGCACTATTAGCACTTTCAGCATCATGGTGACAGGTCAACAAGACAGCGGGACATGACTCTGCTGGCAAAGGGGTGGCCAAGTGAACACTCAAAGCCAATCCATGTTCAAGCACAGCCAGCCTGGTCGCTCTCCATGGCCGCTGCGAGTCTTTTCACCTTCGCGACAGTAGGAGAGCTTCCATGACTTGAGGTCAACATGATGTGTTCGCCAAAAAGTGCACGGGCCAATCATGGTGTCCTGGTGAGCCTCCAGACTTTGCAAAACACTCCTTTTTGACCAAAGCCATGCACCTCACCCAGACTCACTACTTCAAATCAACTTGCTGAATCCCTCCCATTCAGCTTTGCTTTCTGCCACCCGACCACACCCCGACCACACCCGACTCAGTGGTCAAACGACTCGCACGAGCCCGGCCTCCTCTTGCAGAGTTCCTTGGGAGTCCTGCAACGCCACGAGGTTGCCACTCAGGGTGCTCACCTGCGTGCCACGAAGCAAAGCGGTGCAGGCTGAGGTGGGAGAAAGGCTTCGTTCTTTTGCATTCGATTGGTGGGGGAAGATGCTTGTAGCGATGCTTGTAGCGATGCTTGTAGCGAAGGAGGCCATCGCAAGTAGGTTGGAGGCACTAGTAACAAGGACGCTACTACTTGACTTCTCGATTTGATCCTACTGAAACTGCTGAAGATTCAAAGGGCGTTGAAACTGCTCGAGGGCTCTTGAACATGAAAATGGTTGCGGGGGATGTTTTGAAGGGCTCATAGCAACAACCAAACTAACACCAAACCAACCAAACCAACAAGGGGCCCCCCAGCCTCCTGCTTCAGCTCATCCAAGGGGTTGCTGCCAGCTTCCTATCGGAGTGGGTCAGGTCGGGCGATTCTGGAAGAGACTATGCGGCTTCCATGATGCGGCGCCGCTTCTGGACTTGGCCTCCCCCCCCCCACAACCTCAAAGCGATGACTGTGAAGCAGCTGAGCTGCTGAACAGCTGCTGAACAAACGTTCGGGTCACTCATTGAGCTACCCCTTCTCCTAAGGAGGGCTTTCCTGTCCACTCATGGACGCTGTGCCGGGCCTCGTCATCCTCGCCCGGCCTCAGGATCACTGGGACGGTCGTATGTCTCGCGCCTTCCGTGGGACGGGTCCACGGTTCACCATGCTTTCCGTTCCAAAAGCCCTCAAAGCCTGGAGTCCTGTGAACCAGCCTTCCGTTGCTTCCCTGTTCCATTCCAAAAGGTGGGTATGATTTCTTGATCACCCCCTGAAAGGGTTGTCGGGATCAGACCGGAAGCAGAAGAACTCCAGCACCCAGTCGAATCCAAAACCCAAAGATAACCCCTGAGGCTCTAAGACTTGTCAAAGATTTCGGGAAAAACATGGGAAACCGTTGCAATGCACACACCAAAGAGGCGGTCTTTAGAAGATCGACCAGCATCATCAGCATCGATCATGCGGACTAAAAGACCAAGTCAACCCCCCCATATGAAGAGGATCTTCGAACTCAAATGGGGAGGGTCGACAGGTTCGACTCCTCAGAGTCTACGTCAAAACCTCTGAGGTCGCAGCGGATGAATCTCTTTGGATTCAGCCTGGCTCGAACGACGTGCCAACGACGCGGCGGGCAAACGAGGCACCACGGATTCGTGCTAAGCCTCTTAAGCACATTGCGATGGGTGGCTTCACTCGCATTTCTTCTTTTCCCCAGACTGCGATCGTATAGCTATGGGGTTCTTACTTCAAAGAAGAATCACCTGCCTGCGCATTCTTGAGACACGCTGAGGTTATTGTGTTGATCGGGCAATCATATGCTGGAGCAGCATCTTTAGTTTGAAGCGTGAGTCTGATCAAAAGGTTGCTTGACGTTTTTGAACATGTTTGAATGCTTGCGCATGATGCTTGTGAAACCTGGGAACTGTACTGTGTGCGCACACATTTCTATATGTGTATATACATGTGTACGCGCGACATCCTGTTGTACTGTTTCCACGAATACTTTTGGACGTGTTTGCATCTGCCTTTACAATCTTTTACACACAACATCATATGTCTTTTCATCGGGGCAAGACATATGCTGTGCAATTTGAAGCCTGAATCTTACTGCTTCTGTTTTAGTTTTAGTTGCGGTGCTTGCTATCTGGGCTCCATGCGGTGATCACATCTTCCCAGGTGGTGCTTGGTGGACCGAAACAAGCAAGTCACACGTCTCGCCCGGACCCACCGAGTCTCACCGTTGGAAGCGAAAGAACGTCTCACCCTGCGCGGTGCCAGCTCCGGGTCCGCAGCTCGATGACACTTTTTGGCTGCAATGGTGGATGTATGGTCTGAAGGGAGCTAGCCTCTAAATGTGAGTGAATGGAGCTGAAAGAGGCTGTGAAAAGAGCTCCAGATCACAAGGCTGGCATAGCTCCCGAGGTCACAAAAACCACTTCTTTGCAACTAGTTGCGTTCACAGATGGCGTTGGTTTCGCAGGATCTTTTGCCTCACGAATTCTGTGGCCAACATCAGTTTCACAGCCCGGAGCTGTGGTACTTCGGCACTGGAGCCTTAGAGGAAGATGTCACTGGTGCAGTCGCCGCCCGGCAGTCGCATTTCATGGCACCTCATCGCAGACACGAGTTTCGCACGAAGAGGCGATGTGTTCGTGTCGCAGTACTGGCGTGATGGTCGCAGCACTGTGGTTTTTCTCGTTTGGGCGATGTCTGGTTTCCCAAATGAGAGGAACCCCCGAGCTGTGGGACCTCCCGTGGAGATTTCCATCAGCACATATCCAATATGTGGTGGTCATCTGCCCAATATATGATCGCCCTACATGAATCTGTGGGTCACCTTTCCTTGCTTCGGCTTGCTTCGGCTGCCTTCCAACGGACCTGCGAGTTCTCTCTTCCATTCAAGTGGCAGCACTGGGCCATCGGGTTCTTGTCCAAAATCCACCAAGAAATCGGGGTTCAATGTGAGCCCGCCCTTCCTCGGTGGAAGGAGGCAGCAGAAGACGAGAAGGAAGTAGCTGTCTTGGCGGAAAGAGGCAGCGGAAGACGAGAGGCTTGGTGGAAACCAGGAAGAAAACACTCCCGGTGTGGCACTTTTTGGAGCAATTCACTCCAGTGGCATCGTGTGGGTGTGGGTGGGGAGCTAGCCAGGCCTTTGTAAACATCCTCAAGTGAGTTTGGCTAAGTGTCTCGGTGTCGACATCCAACTGAATCATCTGCGCACCACGTGTGGCCATGTCCGGATAGAACTGCTTGTCCCAGGAAGAAAAGAGGGACGTGGACACGTAAAGCCGCTTTCCATCCAGACTCAGTTGGACCATCTGTGCTCCACCTGCAAGACTTCTTCGACACAACGCGACGCGACACGACCTCCGGCTTCGCGAAACCATCTCTGGGTATCCCCAAACACTCAATTAGCAGCCATAGTCCAATAGGTGCAGTGTACTCTGGAAGAACACATTCAATTCTGGACCCCATCTCATCGTGTTGACTCCAGCAGTGTGTGTATCTGACAAAAGCCCCTCATACTAAGTAACAAGGGCATCGATATTAGGAACAGTTGCATCGCTACTAGCAAGAAGCGACGAATTAGTGGGGAGGCACACCCAAACGCAAAAAACAGGGGGGGCATGCCCAAAAGGGGAAGGGGAGACGCGCGCACGGCTGGTCTTTCGCATTCGATCCGATTTTTGTTCCAATCCTGAAGAAGCCACTTCTCTTGGGTCTTAGGTGGATGATTTCCGCTGCAGTTGCAGGCCGACATCTCTTAAGTAGTGGTGATATAGTGATCATGCTTTGGTTGTTGACCGACTGTTACTAACAGGTTAGAGTAGGACAAACAGACCTCCTTCAGAAAAACAAATGGAAATCCTTCACCCATGGTCGAACATCCGTCTGACACCCATCCCTTCCAGCACCGCACCGCACCCATCCCCCACCTTGGATTTCCACTCCCTTCACCACCAAGGCTTCAGGTTGTTCCTCTCCATCGGTGCGCTTCACGGGGCCTCCACGCTTCATGGAACCTCCACGCGGCGTCACCGCGTGACGGTGGCGGGTGGACTGGTGGGTCCGGGCGGAGTCAGTGACCTGCATCTCCCTTCATTCGTCACCCAACAGTACCACAAATCAGAGCTGTCAAACATGGTCTCTCTCTCTCTCTCTCTTTCTTTCTCCCTCCCTCCCTCCCTCCATCTCCCTCCCCATCGAAGGTGTGACAGAACTATCGGACGAATCTGGTGCCAACAACAGGGTCTGTCATTCCCCCGTTGACTCACCAAGCCAAAGAATCACATGGTCTCTGGAAGGAGCGTCATTCCCCCCCAAGCCTGCCCAAGTGAACGGCAGGAGGGACTCCAGGACCTCTCCTTCCTCGGGTGGAGAGGTCTTTGATCTCGCACTATATCATCACTGATGTCATCCCCTCACACCGCCCTAAGCACTCTGCCCGCCCTAAGCGGGAAAACCACCGCCCCCAAGCTCCGCAGCACGGCCTCCCACGAAGAACTGTCCCACCAGCTTCGGCTCTTCACCGCTGAGGTCGTACTGACGCACGTCGCCGTGCAACCAATTGGAGAGATACAAAAACCGATCGTCCATGGAGATCCTCAGGTGCATCACGTGACCGGTGATGTGGGCACGTGAGGAGCGGACCGGAGGGGCGAAGAGCCGATGTCAGGAGGTCCAGCCATGACTCTTTTTTTGCGGGTGAGAAGATGAAGGGTGTACCAGCAGTTGTTGATAGTCTTGCGTCCTTTTTGGTGGGGGGGAGGCTGCTGCTTCAGAATACGACGATGCTTCAAACAACCGGACAGACGTTTCGAAACCCATTGTGGTCCAACTCCTTCCTTATTCATCATCCACTTCGAGCAGGCCGGCGTTCTGGGAGAGCTCGGAGGACAGATCTCGCCCTCCGCAAAAAGGACGAACTCCACACCCCACCCACCCCACTCCCACGAGGTCGTCGAGTCGTGCGCAGCCCCAGCTCCCTGCCCTTTCGGAGCATTTAAAAGACGCTCCAAGATGCAAGAAATCCGTGATGAGCCCTGGCATATGAGGCAAGGCCCAGCCTGCGTGTTCGCTCCACCCTTTCGTCGTTCCGACACTTCTTGGCATCCTTTTTCTTGGTCTTCCTACCAGAGGGCACCTAGCTCATAGCTCATGGCGAACAAAAAACGATCCACACCCTTCACCCGTTCAGTCCCTTTCACAGATTTTCGTGCTGAACCTTTCTCAGCTTCCACCGGAATTGCCCCAGCCGGTCAGGACCGGCGCCTGTGACCGGAATGGGGTCCACTTTGATCACACACTTGGCTGCCCATTGACCATCACTCTTCGGTGTGATCTGGATCATCTCGGAGCTCAGGGCACATCCTCATCGCTACGAACGTCACGTCTACGGAGCCTTCGGAGGACGCTCGTTACCCCGGTCCTGGCCGCCAACCTACTAGGAACAAGGATGCTACTAGCTTGGAGGCCATCTCTACTAGGGTGGAGGCGCACATCCTGAGTGCAAAGCCTTCCCACATCGGGCCCAAGTTCCGCCCCGATCAAAAAAATGAAGCAGTGAACACCCCCGGGCACAAACTACAAAACATCAGGGGTTGAGTGAGGTGGTCTATTTAAGGCTTGCAAATGATCGACGCCGGAGAGGAAAAAACACCCGTGATTTCATGAAAGTGAAAGGGGATCGTTTCTTCCTGGAACGACTTGGCTGCCAACAAAGGTCCATGGAGAACGTGACGACTGGGTGCGAGACAATTCACTACTTTCGGGACCGGCGGGACCAGGGGCCATGACTGGCAGGGAGCCCAAATCCGGCAGATGTGTAGATGAAGGATAATATGGTGGGTGATGCATTCTCTTCATTTCCTTCTTTTCAGACCTCGTCTCCGAAAAGTCACAAAATCAGTCGATATGTCGTGCTGCAAAAGATCCAGTAAAGGCCACGGGCTTCTCGGGATTGTGCAAGAAGCGGACTTCCAAGGGAATGGCGCCGGCACCCAAATCAATCTCCTGATCTAACCGTTTCCGTGAAGGCCGTGGTTACAGGCCATGGAACTGCACAGATTTGGGGGGTGAACATGAAGAACAGTGCTTTTTATACCCAACTTGCCACACAATGTATCACTATGTATCACTGCATGCAATCGCGAAGAAACACGAAGCCTCAATTAACTCCAATGTGAAGCGCACGCGCTTCCCGGCGCTTCTCTTCCTCTCTCCTGCTTCAAAGTATGATCCTTGAAGTTCCAGACGTAGAGCTTGTTGCCATACTTTCCTTCCGAGACATGGCCTGGATTGAAGCCCTTGGTGAAGCAATCAGGATCGCCCCACTCAGAGGAGATCATGACATCGTGCCGCAGCTGATACCAAAAGTCCTCAGCTGATGGAGCCTTTGAAGCACGATGGCCTCCCAACCTACTAGCGATTTCTTCCAACCTACTGGCGATGGCCTCCAACGCCCGTGTTTAACGTTTGGCTTCGGTCCATGTCGCTAAAGAAGTGACCTATCAAGCTAGTAAACCGGACGCAACCCTCTTGCGTCTTGACAGTCTAAGGAGAAAGAACAAGCACCAAAATCCAAGACCCCAAACATCCCCCCCCCCAAGGAAGCAAACAACCGAAGACCGGGAAAAACCATGGGAGTTCACACATCAACGCGGTGCTTTCTGCGCTTTCCCGCCAAAGGTTGCTGCCAAGAGTCATATCCAAAGGTTGGTGCCTTGGGCCCCGCCTCCCAACGTCGCTTGATCTCAAACGTCCTGCGGTCGCAGCGCGCCAAGCCGGCCACAGCCGTTGCGGGCTCTTCGGTGCTTTGGTGGTTTTCGGGGGGGGGGAGTCTGTCGTGTGGCTGGCAAGAACACGTGGCAAAACGGGTTGAAAAAAGAACACAGTCCCAAGTTCTTGCTGTGAATGTCCCATCTGTCGCAGAAAAAGGACAACCATGTGCACTAAGAGTTCGTTCAGTTGGGTTTCCTGGCTTCGGGTCTGTTCACACTGTACCTCCAAAAATACACACCCGGAGAACCTCAAGAGACCTGGCAAATATTTTTTAGTGCAAGATTTCACCCGCTATATCCACTCTGCTTCGGTGTTTGACATATTTTGGCTCACCCTCTCCTGGGGTCAAAGGACACAAAGCCAGCGCCTTCCGGTTTGAAGCCATCCTTCGCAGTGCCACTGCCCATGAAGGACATGATGAGCTCGTCCGGAGCGCAGTGCGTGGTATGCGGCAACGCCGCACCCACTTTGCTCAGAATCTCCGGCCCTGGCGACCCCAGCCAGCAGCAACACAGTTCGGCCCCCAGTGGGAAGATACTCTATGTAGGTCTGGAGGGCGGACAGCCTGGTCCCAGTGTTTTTGGTACCCCCCTTCAATGTGGGCCCCATATCTAATGATAGATTGAGGCGCAGTGGGGTGATAGATTTGGCGAGTGTGTTTTAAAACGGAAAGATCTTCCAAACCGATCTTCCGCAAAAAAAAGACACATGCACTGCCACATGCACGGACCTTCCGTTAACCCTTTCCCGTTCGCCCCAAAAAGGCGAACCAACGACTGCTCGCGGCGCGCCGCACTCGTCGTGATCGCCGAACTGCGCGCGCCTGGGATGGTCTTGTGGAGCTTCGGTGCCTGCCGAAAGGTGCGGCCGCACTGAGGATCCGATCCGACGCGAGGGGACGCGAGGGGACCGGGAAGTGAAGAGAATAGACCGACCTGGACAGGGTCCACCTATCGTTGTTTGGGGCTTCCGGTGCCATGACCAATCATTGGAAGTCTCATTGCCATCGCGACGGCCAGCGACGGCCACCTTGCAGAAGCATCTGGAAGCAGAATCATTCTGGCGGAGGTATTGAATCAGAGGGGAGAATTCATACATAATGTTCCAAATAGGTTTGAACATATTGAACCATAATTATCATCTTCATCTTCAAAATCATCTTCAGTCTTGAGGATGATAGATGGATCCTCCAAAGACCAGTCGAAAAGAGTGGTCGGGGTTCACATTTTTCGAGAGAGATATTCAGCTGTGGTACATGAATTCCACAAGAAAAACGCTTTTCAGAGTGATCCACTTCGGGGATCCGACAAATGTTGCGCAATCCCCATACATGTGTTGTGGATGTCCATCCGCGGCGACCTCACTCAGGGTCGACCGAAAACTCGAGGATGACAACCTTGACCGGGGCCCTGCTTTGAGACTCGGTTCCTGACTTTTTGGAACCGGAAGATGATTTAGATCTCTTCCTTTCTTTTGGCCACCAAATCCCATTTAAAGATAGATGCAACACAACCAAAAGAACAAGCACAAGCAAAAGCACTCCAAGCACGCACTTTCCCGCGCGGATCGTCGAGGATCCGCCGACTTCGCCTTGGGATCCGACTTCACGTCGATGATGTGGATGTTGCCCGACAAGACGCCGGGCGCCACGATGAAGGAATGCGTGGGGCGTCCCGTTTGACCGCGGCAGCTGGAGCAGGCGTTCCAGCCCAAGTGGTGCAGCTCGTCGCCCGGCTCCGCCATGTGCAAACGGTGGATCACCTGGCGGTTCTGAATATTCGTGTGAGTGGGGGTGAACATCAAATGCAAATGAAATAGCTGGCACCCTGTTTTGGGAGGGCATGCTTTTTCTATTCTCCAAACATTCTCTGGTTTTTGGAGGGCTCTTGAGCCATCTGTGTTCATTGGGACCTTGTGGCTGTCAACGCATCGAGCAGAACAACTCCAGCACCACGGATTTGGGATGGTGAGGCAAGATCCCAAAAATGTCAAGCGTGTCAATCAGGAACAAGAAGCTAGTAGTAACAAGTGCCACGCTAGTAGTAACAAGTGCCTTACTAGTAGTAACAATGTTTGCTATTAGAAACAGATATTACAATAGAGTTAATATTACAGGCCCAAGCTCCGTGCTGCTGGCTGATGTTCGCTGATGTGTTCCTTCTTTTCCTGTGCTTTTCGGTGGGTCTCATCTCTCCAAGCGCCTGAGAGTAGGTGGGGCTCTTGGGATCCACATCCACGGTGGCCAAGTAATCTGGCTTGGTGCCCTTCTCCATCTGCACCGCAGGAATGTAGATCCTCGGACTTGGACATGGTCGCATCCGTTGGTCATGGTCCGAGTCTACCGGTGCTGCACAAGGATGGTTCCCAGAGTTTAGAAAGGACGGGCTGAGTCTAGCTCAGTCTTAATTCCTTTGGTAGGAAGGCACCGTGAAGCATGACTTTAGAAGCTCTACACATGGGCAGCACAAGCCCCCGGAGATGAAGACGCACACGCGCTGCCTTGGATGCTGTTATTCTTTTCGGAGGATCCCAATCATCTGTGACCTCTAATTGCCGCAGTGTGCACGGTCTTAGTGCTGCAAGGGTAGAAAAAGAGAATTCACTGCAATACTTCAGAAACATCATCCCATCCAACGATTTTGTCCGGGGGCAGAACCATCGGAACGTCTCTGCTCGAAAAAAGGAACCCTCCAACCTCCCAACGTCACCCAGGGTGTATGGGTTTTGACCCACAGACATATAATTAGATAGTATGGACTCCTTGATGAACAAAACCTCCAAGTATGAAGATGTATGACGTTGTATAACGATTCTGGTACCGGTTTCTTGATGAATCAACAGTCTACATTGAGACCAAATCCTGTGTTGGTGATGTTTGTTTGCTGCTCATCAAAAATATCTTATAAAGTATTCAACTTCTTTCATGATGTCTTCTTTTGCCAAGCGTCACCTTTTCGGGTTCTCCGTTCTTCATGGCCTCCAACGGGGTGGCAAAGCCATCCCTGGCACAACAGCTCGGCTTGTCTCCATCCTTGTAGCCGCTCATGGTACCGATTTGGCCGAAAAGGAAAAGGCGCGTCTTTCCACAAAAATGGGCTGCGAAAGGCGCGTCAAGTCTTTGCTCTCGGGGCGGTCCACCAAACGGTCGATCAGTGACGTCGGGTCGAGGCCTTCAAACTCGGTGAGCGCCCGACAGCCGGCAGCTTTATAAGGTGAGGAGCATGACGAAACGCAAAGATGTGAATAAAAAACATGATCTTTCCGGTATACAGCCAGATGGTCAAACAGGTTCTGAGGCACCTGTTCAGATCGATGGATGCGCCCTTTCGACCGTGGACAACGGCTTCCAACCAGGGCGGACCCAGTCCGGAGCCTCTTTTTGTAGGTCAGCGACAGCTTCTGAGAGCTTTTGCACCTGGCTTCCGGGGATCTCGTCCGTCCAATCTTCGGATGGCAGTCGCTCAAAAACTGCCAAATCGCATGACATGTTCTTTGTGTGGTTGGTCTGCTTTAAGCAGTTGCATGAACATCCAAGCCGAAGTGCACCAGAAAAAAGGAAAACACCGGCCACAAAGCTGTGCCACAAAGCTGTGCATCAAAGCACGCTTTCGCACGCAGAATATGTGACAAAGGAGACTTCTGAGCGTTGGCCCAATGCTTACTATCCCGCTGTTGAACCATTTCACCCAGCAACAAAAAAAACACAAGAAGCAAAACCCTTGGTTTGGTGGGATAAACGCCGAAACAGACCCATGTTCACATATGTTCACCCACTTTTGTGGCCTCCTTCCAAAGCTTCGCGATTTCTTCGTGCGCGGCCTTGGATTCAACACGGTTCCGTTGAGACAGCCCGAGCTTTTTAGAGTGCCAAGAGTCTCGTTTTTCACGGACGTTTCAGGGTTCTTGATGTAGTCTTTCAGGCAGGGCTTTTTTAAATCTGTCTATCAACTCTAAGACTCCAAGGCAAAGAAGGATCATAGCTTGCTGCTTCCTGAGCACGCCACAGAGTCAGGTTCAACGCCTCACGCCGTAGTCAAAGCCGGAAGTAACCACCAGTTTGGCCAGCAACTCTACACGCTATCAATTGGCTTGAAAGCGAAGCATTGTACGCTGCTCCTTTGGTTTCAAGAACCACATCGAACCACATCGAACCCTGCCCAATGCGGCAAACACCTCTCCCTTTCCTTGTCACCCCGCCTGGTCTCACTTCTGCCGCTGCCGTGACCTCCGGAGCTTCCGTCTCGGGCGCCGCTTCCGGCACCGCGTCCGCTGTGGCTTCGGGCTTCGTCTCGGGCGAAGCCTCCGGCCGGGCGTCAGCCTCTGCCGACGCCTCCTCCGCCACCTCCGGCCGGCGCAGAGTGTCGAAGTCACGCGGCTTAGCTCGTTCAGAGAAGTCAGACATGCATAGGAATTAATATAGCAATATATAGCATATAGTACAGTGTATACATCACATCTGTTCGTCAGCCAGCAGAGATTCATTTGAAGCCATTAGACTCAACTTTGCCATCTTTTTGGCCATCCGCAACTAAGTCTTTCTGGACTTCTTCCACCAAACACCCTCATCTCAGTTATCCGTGGCCGCCTGCGCCGGAGGTGTCTCACCAGCCGTCTTCTGCGCCAGCTCCGCCACCTGTGGGATGCTCTCGGAAACAGAAACACACAAACCTACTGATCAAGTGCATGGTCTTCTGATGAGGTCAAGAGGGACTTCTTCACCAACATGATCACATAGCCGCCCTGTGAATTGCCCCATGTCCCTTTCCGGCTCCTACCCCCATCCAGTGACTCCAGTGGTGCGGTCAAACGAAGGAATGCGTTTGACACATCGAATCTGGCTTTCCGGATCGGACCTCGCGCGGTGACTCTGTCGTCCAAACATCATCCAGATGTTCTCCTTGCGGTTTTTCCGTAGCAAACATAGCTACTATCTACGAATATTAAATGTATCAAGTCTTTTTAATCTACAAACAGCCTTTGTAAATTAAATATATTCAATAAAAAATAGCTCCTGGCATCGCGACTCGCACGGAGCGATCGGGACGCCTTGGTTTCCAGCTCCTTCAAGCGTTGCAAGGCGTCGGCCTCCAAGCCTCGTGGTGTCGTGACGCAGGTGCCGACTGCGGACGCAGGTGCAATAGACTCACGACGCCGTTTTTCCAAACGCAGAGAGTTCCACGTGAGATTAAGCATATAGCATATAGCTTGGCACTGCATGACTTGAACGTCACTGTTCAGGTTCTCTTTCTCTGTGGGTTCCGATATGCTCCAAAATGCCGCCAAGTTTCGCCCAGTCACCTCCGAACCGCTTCGACGCACGACGCTCACGGCGACGCTGCCTTCCGGGACCGGAGACGTGTCGTCCTTCACGCGTGGGTCGTCGGCGCCAGATGAAGGTGCCTTGCGGTGCACGGCGGTGTGAGGTCGGCAGAGTGCAAAGGTGCAGTGTGCACTGTAGAAAAGCGGAAAAAGATGTCAAAGGCTTGAAGGTGCTTTGTCGACATGTTGAGAGGTGAAACTACTTCCGGCTGCAGTTGAAGATCTGTGACGACGTACGTGGAAACGCGTAGTGGATGCGCGTGGAAACGACATCGCAGCATCTCTGCGGGGTTCATGTCGGGGTGAAGCAAGAAGAGCACTATATTGTCGTGCCATACACCTCACAAACATTCGCACCATGACGGGAGCAGGAACAAGAGAATACAAGGAAGTACAGGGAGTTGTCCCACCTTTCCAATCAAACACATGGATGTCTCGATTTGGCAGATTCTCCCTGCTCATGTGCACCCGGAAGCTCCAAACCGAATGGAACTGAGCCCCGCTGCATCGGAGGCTGGAGACACCTGTGAATCCAGGCGACGCCAAGGACATCGCTACCGTGCGCGGTGGCGATTTGTTCTGCTCTCCAGCGACTGGACAAGTCTTGCTACAAGACTGAAAAAGCGTGTGGTGAACATGTTCAGACGAACGAACGGAGGTCTTTGGGTTGTCAATGCTTGCCAGGGACGCAAGAGTCGTTTTTCCTGGAGCGACCAAGCTTCACAAAGCATGGCTCACTAGCAACCTTCAAAATTGTGTACGGTACTGCGCAAACATTTCAGGAAGCCAGTGACCTTCATGTGAACACGTTGCAAGATCTGCCGCGGAGCTTCCCATGTTGAGGCCTTCTCCGTCAAGGTCTGCAAGGATTCATCAAGGCTGCTAACCTACCAATCCAAAGATCCAAGACTTCTGTTTCAATTGAAGAACTACATGGAGCCATCAACTATATTACACGAGTGAAGGTCTTTGGGCCAAACCACTTGGCCTCTGAGTGTTGCATCACAAGTTATTTTTCATTGTAAGATTCTTTAACTGGCCAAAAGTTGGTACTAGATCTCGACCCGTTTTCTTGCTTAGTGGGCTCCCCCCAAGCGGATGTTTCTGCGAGTACACGATCGGATCTAGGCGGGATCATGCAACAGCTTGCCACACTCCGCAGTTCTGTTGTAGGATCATGCAGCCATGGCACAATGCCATAGCTGGTATCCATAAAGTCCCATTAACCCAGCTTTGCAACCCAACAGCAGGTAGCAACTCAATTGGTTTAAAGTGTTCAAACACTCCAACCATGCGCTGCAGTCCATCAAATCACGTCGCATGATTGTTCTCGCGCACAGCAAACAACTCCGCCTTCTGCTCCAAGGAGGCGACGCGCTCTGCGAGCGCCTCTTCACCTTCTCCCGTGGCGGTGTCGCTCAACAGAACTGGGAGACACTTTTCTCATCTTCTCTGTTGAATGAGCCCTTAAAAGGGGTGATTCATGTCACAGTCCCTATCCATCGAATGGCCTTCGCTCTTCCTTGGTTCCTGGATGTTTTGCAAACTCTAAAAACAAAGTAAACAAAAAACTCCACTTTGCACTTGCCTAGGTGAAAAGAACACGCGATGCACAGAAGAAAATGATCATGTTCCGGGAACTCACAACGACTCACCGACGACTAACTTCGGTCAGACTAACCGGTCGCCTGGCAAAGCCTCGGACGAAGCCTCGGACGAAGTGGCGTCACCGGAAACGTTCGTCGTTCGCGTGAAAAAGGCTCATCGGTGAAGTGCAAAAAAACAGCGGTGGGGAGCCAAGCATTTGACGACTTTATTTCTAAATGCCTCTGTTTGGATTTCTTGGGTCGTTTTAGATAGATTCTTCTGAATTCGAGGTTGTAGCGGGGTATATAACCTGTGGAGTTCTTTGAACATTGGAAGGCAACGTGTCACATCGTATTTCGAGGCTCAATTTCATAATCATTTGAGATGACAAGATCTTACAAGGCCTTCGGCTCAAGAAGAGGACCCAGGGTACACCAGCTGTGAGTGATGTTTGTCTTACCTCTTTCTTGTATGCCTGGGGTTGTCCGGGAATATTGCGACTCTTGAGCTATCACACGCCGGGGGCATCCTCCATCGCTGGGCGCCGCACCGCAGCTGGCTCTGTAGGCTTTTCGAGCGCAGGCTTTTCGCCAGAAGATGCCTGACCAAGATGAAGAGGAGGAATCACCTGCCTTGACTGGGGGAACACTCAGCTTCACCCGTTCTTTCGTCTGACGCCGGTTCAGAATCGTCTGACGGCCCCGGGAGCCCGTTCCTCGGTTCGTCCGTGGATCGGTGCCGGTGAACATCCGAAGTCCAGCACGGCCAAAGGTCAACGGCCAATATCAGTGATTCCATTTCGTGCTTCGGCCTACCTGTGAACGCCGGGCAATCACGAATTTCTTTCGTGCACAAGCGATTCGTTAGGCCTACTTGTGAAAAAGGTATTCGGGGAAAGTGGGCAATTTCCCTATCTCCAAAGGGGGATCTATCTGAAAAGCTGGCCTAGATTCCTTTGCTACTAGGAACAAGTGCCTCGCTAGTAGTAACAAGTGCCTTACTGGTAGTAACAAGAAGCTATTAGTAACAGGTGCCACGCTAGTAGTAACAAGTGCCTTACTAGTAGTAACAAGAAGCTATTAGAAACAAGTGCCACGCTAGTAGTAACAAGTGCCTTACTAGTAGTAACAAGAAGCTATTAGAAACAAATGCACCTGAGGCTTCACCAGCTCGGCGTCCGCCGCGTCCGCCACGTCCGCCACGTCCGGGACCTGCAGCTGACAAGAACTCTCGGGTCATGACGAGCCAGTCTCTTGGAGTTCATGGTGGCAAATAAAGATAACCGTTGTAATATAATGTTTCTAATAGCTTCTTGTTCCTACTAGAAAGGCCAGGAGCCCCTAGTAGCTTCTTGCTCCTAGTAGTAAGGCACTTGTTTCTAATAGCTTCTTGTTACTACTAGTAAGGCACTTGCTCCTAGTAGCGATGCACTTGTTTCTAGTAGCTCCGTTGTAAGATCTTCCAGTTTCATTCGGGTTTTCGGACTCTCATCTGGAATCCAATCCTTGCTTGAACTTGGTATGGTCTTTCTTCCTAGGTCTTGTTATTCAACTTTTTTTTAAAAGAGGTCCTGTCCAAAAATGCAGTTCCGCTCACCTGTCCGAGTCTTACTTGGATGCTTCAACTGTAGCAACATCAACACACACACAACATTCTCACCCCGGCCCGTCGATCTTGGTTTCTGCCCCACAACTCGCGGTAGTGGTTGAACTGGCCGATCTGCGAAACGGCAAAGCCGTTGGGCCTCATTCTCTGGCTTCTCCTCCTTGGTGTCCAAGCCCTTAGGGTGTAAAGCAGCCCAGTCGGCACAAGCTTCGCTGCTTGGGTGTCTCTCATGACCATGGGGCGCTTTGGATGATGCATCCATTCCATGGTTATCCATGGTTCGCTTGCAGGACATCTCAAACATCGTTTCAGGCAACCTGGATCCCGTCTTTCTCCTTGCGCCCTTGGAATCATCCGCAACTCCTCTTTGTTTTTTGCAATAAGTTATTTCCAGTGAGGACCGGACCAACAAGTCATCGCGGACATCCTGGAGCGTTTCTTTGTCAAGGCCTTCGGGAACTCGTAGCTGCTCACGGTCCTTCCAGTAGACGAAACCGCGACCCACGGATGGCACAGAAGAGTCATCTTTCATGTTGATTCGGGGGTTTCTATACCATCAGCCATGTCAGGACTCGCGTTCTTCACCCGACGTACACACTTGATATCCAACACGAGTGCAGAAATAAGTTCAAATGCTGAGTTTTCAAGTGATATGTGGGTTGGGTGTATCTTGAGCTAAAGACACTTTCTACAAAGCACCTCTAAAAGAACTAAAGCCCCTCATCACCTTCCCTTCCGTGCCTGGTCACTGAGCTTTGCTTCTGCCCTCAGAGCTTCCACGGCTTCCGCCAAGCGGGACACCTGTGCATGTTCCAGAATAGATAAAACCTTCAATTAAAAGGAAATTAGCCTAATTAGGTAGTAGCATTCCCAGAAAGTCTGGCACTCGTTTCTTTGCCTTTTTTGCACTCGAAGCTGCTGTTGAACCACCCCACAATAAAAGAACAAAGCAAACTCTTGGACTTGCCGTTGGACCTCCGTCTGCAGGGAAGCGACCCTGCGCTGCGCCTGGTGCACGACTCGTGCGCAGTGCCAACGACCAAAAGTCAACAAAAGAGACCAAAACCGTGGTAGCACAAGTTCAAAAAAGATGGAAAAGATGGAAGAAACATCCTTGAACATCCTTGAATGAATAGTTCTACGAGTTCCCTCAGGAACGATGATCAAATGGCATTGGCATTGAGTTGATCAGCGACACCCGGGCGTCAACGGTCGCAGAAAACAACGCTCTCCGTCTTCTCGAAGCGACGTTGCTCGGCCTCCTCGGCTTTCTGCAATGCTAAGGTCCTTAGTGCAAATGTTGCGCAGCGATTCTGCAGCAACAAGGCTGGTGTTGCAGTCTGACTTTCAGGTAGATCCAGAACAGATAAATCAAAGGTAAAACTGGAAGGAAGGGAAGAAAAAGAGCGTTTTGGGCTAAAGAAAGGTCCAACATTGTCCAACACCTCTCACAAAGGCCAAATACGAGCTGAATGAAGCCCTTTCGACCTTCCTCACCATTCAGTCGTTCGCCAAGGTCAGCGGCATTTCTTTTTGGTGCCGGACGCTTGAGACTATCCGTTCACTGCCAATGACACCGGACCTGACAACAAACCACCTTGGATCGAAGGCACTGCAGACGACCCAAACCGATCGGAAGCCACACCAGACGATGTGAGTGTGGCATCACATGCAGCGACCTACGCATATGAGTGACCCAAACAGCGACCTGGATCCCAACTCTCCAGAACCAACTTGGACATCGAACCGCACCGACCCTACCCGCGCCACGACCCACGACCCCTCCGATCCAACCAGTAGCCTTGCCTGAGCTAATTACTGCATCGACCGAGGCTTGGTGGAGACTCCGCAAAACCCATCGTGACCCACAGCTCACCTTTGAGTGACCACACAGTGACGTCGCATCGCCGGGTGAATCCGCCTGAGAAACGGAACCGGTGCGCGCATGGACCACCCCCGTTGATCACTTCGTATTTGGGTCGAAAGGGTTTGTCTTTCGTTGTGGAGATTGCTTGGTCGAACGTTGCTGATTGGAGTTCTTCCAAATCCTTCGATGTCATTTGATGGGTCCAAAAGGAATCGGATTCCAAAAGAGATCAAAATTAGGAACATCTTCTGAAGCGGCGAGTATGTCATTTCATTGGCATAAGCATTTGAAAAATAGCCACCAAAATCTGAGTTTCCCGGAACAAGTTCCAGGAAACTCTTCACCCCAGTCTTTCTATGTCTTTCTCAATCGATCAACTCATCGACCTGCCTCGACCCGTCGACCAGCTTCGTCCTGGCCTCGGCGGAAGGGCGGAGCGGCGGGCGGAAGGCGCGGCTTGGCGAAAGCGTGTCTTTTTCCGCGCCAGGCAGGTGAAGTGTCAGGACCCTTCGAACAACCGTTCCAAGCCATAGTGCCATAGAGGACCGCACTGGCTCTCCACCCTCAGCTGTGCCTGTTGAGAAGTGAAACGTGACTTCTTGCCCCCAACGATGGCTTTGACTTCGATGATTCGAAGGATGCCCCACGCGCCAACCCCGAGGGCTCGACTTCGTGTAGGACTTGACATCGCCTATGACCAACTCCAAACGCGGAAAGTGCACGTTCATGAGGAGCAAGTAAAACCACTGGGTTTTCTCATGGTGGGTGTTTGTTAGAACCAACAGTCAACTAATTACAGTCACAGTCAACAGCCTTAGGAGAATATACGAGTGCCAGTTTCGTGCCATGTATTTATACAATCGATAAGAAGTTAGCCACGACAGAATACCTGGACTATGAGACAAGTTACTATTGATGTTACTGTTGATTAGCAGGTATTCTGCTGTGCAGCTCTGCTGCACATTTGGTGTCATCGAAAAGAAACACTCTCTTAAGTTCAATACCATCCTTCGCCAATTTTCAGTTGTATACAGTATACATGTCCACATCATAATGCTCAAATCCAATCCCACGTCCTGCTTTGCCAACAGCTTTACACATGAACACCCGCTTTTCTGGCGAACACGCGTGTGAACGACACCGAAACGGTTCCGGAGTTCCGGACCCACCGCGTGGACTCCTTCGCATGCACCAGACCGACCCATCCCCCATCTCCCAATCATGTGGGAGGTGTTTGCAAGATGGACATGTCTCCTTTTTTGATGGACATGTCACATGTATTCCCCCTTTTCATGTTTTTTTCATTTTTTCCATGTCCAGTTTGCACTTGCCTAGGTAATTGAGCACGCGATCTTTGCAAGATGGACAAGAACACCTCCCAATCCTTCGCTCTGGTGGAGGTCCGGAACTTGGCCGGACGAGAATCGGTCGCACCTGCCCCACCGAAGCTTGAAGCCTGGCGGAGGGAGGTGGCAAGACGAACGGATCAGGGGCCGTGGGAAGCCGTGGGAAGCCGGTGATCTTTCGAAGGTCTTGAAACAAAAAAACACACATCGTGAAGAAAAAGACACACTTCTTGATCTTTCTTGTGTGAGAACACACATCTTTTAAAGATCTTCTGTCTTCTTTCACCATGCCCTCTTCTTCACAGGAAGTTTTTCTAAAGGATCAACTAGGGCAAGTGTCCTTTCACTCGTCGCACTCCACCAAATGATCTTACGTTCATCTGGGCCCCAAAACGTTCACGTAGTTCAAGCGAGATGCGGTCCTCTTTAAACTCCAACTCCCCACGTAAAAAGAAACTGTGCGATCTTCTCAGCACACCTTCTTGTCACACCTTTTCACCCCCCTTCTGATCTCCACAACAACCGTCCACACGGTAGTCGGCCCGCAATGAAATCGCTCAGTGCGGCGGTGCAACGGTGGATTTGAATTCACAATCTGCACAGAAACGTTAGGAAAGAAGCTGGATTCAGGTATCCTGCAAACTCCTTTCTAAGGACTGCATGGTGAAAAGAACGCACTATAGATCATATCACATCGCTTCTTCAGCCCTATTTTACTTGCAAGGACACAAGAAATTTTGCCACAACAAGTATCCAACGCGCTACAGGCGCTAAAAGCATCTGTCCTTTCTGCTCAGCTTCTCTGAGGACAACGGTCCTTGTGAATTCAGACATCGCTGGGCTCCAACAGCAGCGGCCAGCGATGCTCGACATGCTCGACCCGCGTGTGCTCAGCGTCGTCCTTCGGTTCGTGCGGCACATGGATGATCTGGCCCTTCTCAGGCAAGTGCCTCGACTTTGAAAGCAAATAGCAAACGGATCGAAGATGAGTTTAACAGAAATCCGGTTGAAGAAAAGCTGCAAAAGACTCGTCGGCATTGAATGAGTCTTTCCAAACTCCCAAATGTTCGTCTTGCCATGTGCCTTTCTCTCTGGACGCCAAGACAAATATGTCACATGAGCTTTTACTCTATAGAAAAGTCTGGCAGAAGCAAACATTGACAAGAAGCTACTAGGGGCTCCTGGCATCGCTACTAAGAGCAATCGGACGCTACTAGGGGCTCCTGGCCGTACTACTAGGAGCAACGACGCTACTAGGAGACAATTCTTCATCCCAAGACACAAGAGGCGCTCCCCTTCGGCATCAAACCTCTGCCCGACGCTTCGCTCACAGTGTCGACGCTCGGTGGACCCTGGCTGAGCAGCCCCAAAAGCCATCAAAAACCGCTGCAATCCGAAGCCCAAAAAGAACAGGGGAGCCGAAAAGGGGCCCATCTACACCCAAGTCAGTGTGGGACCACAGGGTCGTAAGCTTGTGACGCACACATCTAGCCTCTTCAGCACCCAAGTCAGTGAGGGACCACACAGGGTCTGCCTGTGACCAAGCGAGTCCCCCTGAGGCAGCGTCCATCTTCATGGGAAAGAACAATCCGGACCCGAATTCGGGATGGACCGATTTCACTTCTTCTTCTCTCCCCCTCTTTGAGGGTCTTCGCAGCGTTCGCAGCAGTTCGTGGAGTTTTGGAGGATTTCTGATCAAGCAACCTTTGGTGAGGGTAACTGACCTTCGTGTCCACCCACTTTTTCTGCACCAGTGTAGTACGCAGTACCCAAAAAAACACACGAACTGTTGAACAAACACCCGACCACGAACAACAAACACCTGAGTTCCATCAGAATGTTGAGGTCGAGGTTGTTTTCCGAAGCTTTCGAGGTTGTTCGAAGTTCCTTCTGAACAACAAACACCCGCCTTCCATCCTGGACCCGTTCGAAGCTGTTCGTCACCATCTCTTGGTCCCTTCACGCAGCCGGGTCACCAGCTGGGATCCTCGGCCACGCCCGCCTCCAGCCGGAGACCTCCAGCGACTCCAGCGAAGAAGACCCACGATTGGGGACGCAGAAGGTGATGGTTCCGTGGAAACGTAAGACACCTCCCAAGACGACGAGCCAAAAGGCCTTGAGGATCTTGAGGGGAATTCAGTGTGAAGGGGCTGGTTTGTGGCCAGAACAAGTTGGCCCGAACAAACACGCACACTCGAAACTGTGAAGCAAACAATCAGCTCCGCAGCAAAGGAATAATAGACTTCCAAACTCAGTCTGTAAAAGTAGGCAATCTTGCGATGATAAATTAAGCATCACGCATGGACAGTGCCTCTCAGTTGTCTACATGAATCACGCGCCTAGTTCAGGCTTAGAGTTCAAGGCGAACCTTCCATCGTTCCTTTCGCCTCTTCGCATCGTTCCTTTGCACTTCGCCTTCACAAAGACCCGTCGCTTCGTTCAGACGTCCCTCTGAGTTTCCTGCGCATCCACGTCTCACCGCAGGTGAGACGATGCTCCACCCGTACAACGCCCAGAAGGCCTAGCGGTCAGACCGTTCAGGTATCCAGACGGAACGGCGTGGATGATGTTGATATATCATGCTGATGTGTTTACACGGTCACATGGAAAATGATAGAAACATAATAGAAACGTCTGTGTGAACGGCATCGGCAACCAAAGATGGAGATTGTGGAAGATTTGACCAAGTCGCCATGTGCACCACGCAGCCCCACTGCACGGCGCGCGGCGTCGTGTGCCCGGCAGGGAGGCTCCAACCAGGCCCAGGGGCGAAGCTGAAATCTGGCCACCTGAAGGGCTCGGGAAAAGCGACGGATGACATGAACACAGTTTATTATTAATTATTATGTTCGTCGAAGTTTGTTCGGTTCTGAATTTTTGAAGGATGATGTGAAAGGATTTCTTCACCTTTCTTCCGGGTCTTGGCCATTGGGGTGCTCAAATTGGTGACACCGAGAATGGCGAGTGACGGTGAAGACATGACATTGGAAGCAGTCTCCCAACCACTCCGTGTATGCCATATATGCCTCGAAACAAGCACATGGGCTATCAGCAACATGTTTCAGTGGATGTTTTGAGGCACTCGAGGCAACACTCGAGTGTTGTGCCTCATGGGCCAGAAAAAAAAAAAAACATCATTTTTCCCCATTTCGGCGCCCAGGCCCGCATTCTTGTGGGACAGTCCAAAAAACACAAGGCTCATGAGCGTTCAGTTGCGACCCTCCCTCAAAGAGAAAAGAAGGAAAAGAAGCCACAGCCATGGCAATCCAACCTGCAGGATCAGGTCGGATCCGAAGGTTTCATCCTGTTTCACCGGGGTTGCCGCGTGGCAAAGCCAAAGGGATGACGCCCAAAGACCTGCCTGCTGATAGCTCTTGGCCGTCAGCAGCTCAATCTGCAGTGGTTCGGCCTTGACAATGTCAATGTGCAGTGGCTTCGAAGGTTCATCTACCACAGCTCACGGACTGGATGAAGTTCTGCATTGCGTGAACACATGAAAACGAACTCATACTGCATTGCAGTCTCATGACCAAACATCTTTCTTCTTGAGACTTCGAGAAGCAATATGTAGTCCATGCGCCATTCGACCCAGAATCTGCTACCAAGCTGACCTCTTCTGGAGAAGATCACCTGATCACCTCTCTGTCCTTCGTCTTCCTTCACCTCTCTCCTCTCCTCTGAGCTCGGATCCGCCAAGAACCGGCCGAAGGCTCCCGTGCGCCTCGGACGCCGTGGGACGTGTGACGTTGGTGGATGGTCCGTCGTTGGTGGATGCTCCTTCTTCGGACGGAAGACGCCATAGGCGCGCCTTTTTTGGGGAATGAGGGATCTGCTGGATTCTGACATGCATCTCCATCCCAGACACTGACTCATGCGACTGCCGGACTACCGATCCAGCCAGACCCCCAACCGGACCACCCCTGGGCCGAAGTTTCTCGGCAGTCCGGCAGTCCGGTCGCGTACGGGCGAACCGTGAGGCGAACCGTGAGGCGCCCCGGCCAGGTGGCATCAAAGCTGGCACGGAAGGAGAACGTCGGTGGGACGAGGCTGACATCCTCGCTGGAGCTCTGCACCTGGTTCCGAGCGTCATGACTGCGGATGAAGCGCGGGGAATCGCTTATGAACCAGATAAGAGAGCAAACTTGAACAAGGGGTTCATAAGACTCACAAGCATGATTCGCATGTGCGTGCGGAGCTCCACCTGGACAAATAAAAGGCGTATAAGACCATAATTAGGCACCCAGCACTTCATCTGGTACACAACTTGTGCTTTTCTATGGGTCAACCTCTCAAAAAAACCTTGACACTTTTTTTGGACTCCGTGAAACGTCACGGAAAGTCAGTCTTCGTCACGGTGCCTCCCCCAGGGCATGTAGCGCCAGCCAGGCTCCATCCACACCTGGGCTAGTGGCACGAGCGACATGCAGCGTGAACGATGGGAAAGCTTCAGCGTTTATGGCACCCTGAGCCTTTGGCGCCTTTGGCGCCTTCCAGCCTTTAGCAGGGACTTGTCGTAATTAGCACCCAAAAAGGGACGAAATGGTTTCCGAAGGACAGAGTGCTACGATGGATTTCCATGGCCTACGACTCAGTGACGGAGCGCTGATCGCAGCGCCTCCAATCTCCAGAAACTCCACGGCCACCTTGGAGCGTTCGTTGAACACCGACGGGAAGGGTATGTTCACCCTTCCGAGATGTGAACAAAACGATAGCAAATAAATCTGACAAATCAATGACATATCAAAATCAAACACCCCTGGGTGTTTGCAGTTGACAAGTTGGTAATTAAGTTGATGAAGTTGATTGAGTTGATGAAGTTCTTCAAGAACTTCATGCAGAAGTCCAACTTCTTCAAGAAAATACCATACCGTACCACTTCTAGCCATCTTGATAGACTTCTTCAACTTGGGTCTCCCAACATGGGCCACCACGGGATGTCCCAGGACAGACATCGCGCCGCAACATCTGCAGCTGAACAGCGGCTGAAGCCAAAATGGCGATGGGAGGCCTTCAGAGAAGGCAATGCCAAGGCGAAGAAGCTGCACAATCCGGACGAAGCAGCTTTTTGCCTCAGCAGGTTTCACCACCTGATGTCCAAAATAAAAACCCTTCGGGGTGGCGGTGCTATGCTGTCGTCACTTCCTTCGGTCGCACGAAATTCTGGTACAGAACCCCAAAGAGTCGTGTGCTAAAAGAAGATTCTGAAGACGCTGCTCTTATGGAGCGTGATGACAACCATCATCCTGAATCCCGATCTCTTTGCAAGCAACACAGGCAGGCGTTGCGCAGAGACGGAGGCAGATAAGTTCTTCAGCTCCTGCGCAAGTTCTTACAACGAGGTCAAGCCAACTCGGAGCGGCCTTTCCCAGTTTTCCCTGCCCTCCCACCCGTCTCAACGCTTTGGGTCTAATCTGAGCGTGGAGAGTCTCAAGACGAGTCTCCCAAGTCTCAACGGGTACGGCAAGCACCTGGTCCTTTGCTGCATGTAAACCACAACGTCTTTTAGTGCTACGACACTGGTCCCACCCCAAAAACACCGAGTCTCCCATCCCGTCGAAAAAAGGAGAAGGAACCAAGCCTCCATCACCAGATAAAGGTGCGCAAAGTTCATGGGACTCGTGATGACTCATTGTCTTTGGATGGTGGACGCTGTTTACCCAATCAATGGGGGAGGCCATCGCTCTTGGGTTGGAGGCCATCGCTACTAGGTACTCGAGCACGTCATCCTCCTCATGCTTCGCCAGGGTGCCCGCCAGCGCGGAGGCCGCCTGCTTCTCCCGGCGAGTGGCGGCGGGTGGCGGGGTGGCTTCCGCTGGTTGCGGGGAAGATGAAATGACGACGGCACAGCTCGTTCGGAAGACTCCATCAACATGACCATCTGCGACGTAGACCCAGTCACAGCGACGGGGTGCGTGCTATCGAGCTGGATGGGACGAGCCACAGCACCTCGAGCTCTGTCCTGGACTATACCTTACTGTAGATGTGGGCCCCAAACATCAAACGGAGTGGAAATCCTACAGACTCTCATGCTGGATTGAGGGTCGATGGCGACAAGTGGTTTACCGGTGGTTTGATGTGGTTTCCTTTTAAACCTCCCATGTCTTCAAGACATCAAACGGTGTGTGCGAAGGTGCCATCTACTCAGGCCAACCACTGGGTCCAAAGCCTCCGTAAGCCTCGGTTCAAAAGCCATGGAGGTCTTTATCCGTTCCCCAGAACTTCTGGGTGGGTGCTATGAGGATCTTCACCCTTTAGCGAGTTCACCACAAACCCATAGCCTTGGCACCCTAAAGGACATGGTAGGGTACTTCACCTCCCACTACAGCCATGTCGACGGGTGGTGCCAGTGCGATCTTCACCTCCGTAAACCTTCACAAGTTGTCCCCCCCCGGTAAGAGAAGGCAGGCCTTGCTGCCATTGTCTCCGACAGCAGTAGAGTCACCACCTTCCCGGTGAGCTGAGCAAAACGAGCTGAGCAAAAAGCGGAGAGTTAAACGAGTCTGAGAAGTTGTTTGGAGTCATTCACACACTTCAACTCGCTTGTGTTCTGATGCACTTGAGGAAGACTTGTTCGTCGTCCATTCGCCTGTGGCTGTGGTGGCCGTGCCCACTTGAACTTCGAAGAGCCTCGGTCCGTGCCCATCACACCTTCCGCAAAAGGACCATCGACGCATCTCACGACTGGAACGGAAAAAGGTAGCGTGAAACGCCGGCCATCGACGGTTTTCTTCGACTGACATATATACATAAACGGGAAAAAGAAAAACAGTCCCATCTCCTTGCCAGGACTTGGATCTTTAGATCCAAACACCCTTCCTTGCTTCCAATGTAGGCCCTACGCAGCATCTTGTAGGCCGATAAAGGCGGTTCGGTTTGGGCGCCGTCCTCTTCCGAAACTCAACCGCTGAGGATCGAGGCTGTTGCTGGAGCTTCTTAAGCTCTTGGTCCAAGTGGAGGGCTCGATCGTCCTCACGTGTCTGGGCAGACCTTTCTGTAAGAAGTTCCAAAGGAATCAACAAACAAAACTGCAAATTATGCATGCAAACAAACTGATCCATGATCGTGTTGGTCTGCTTTTTGCATCAACTTCTCATTGCTTCTCACATGAACAACACGTCTCTGCCACTCAACGCGCCAGCAACGCTCAAATTCGCTCGCAGAGCGCACGAATTTCGCACGTCCTGCTGCTCTGCCATGACTTGCATCTTGGTGTGCAACGAGGCGACTGAGTGCCGGAGCACCGTTGTGATTCCGTGCGAGCGAAGCCAGGATCCCCAGGATCGTTGCTCCGAACATTCTTCCCAGGACATATCCCTATAGAAGTCCAGTTCGACTATATTTTGACCGACTCAAGTAAGTAGATATTCCTTTTCGGGTCACCTAAAGACCATTCTTTTTATAGGACATATGTTGGAACTCTAAAATGAACGAAACAACCGCCCCTAATTTCGGATCTCTCCACCTCTCTCCCGTTCGTCTTCTTCGGTGCAAACCACCACCCTCCCCCAACCTCACCCACATCCTCCGGGGACGTTTGGAACTGTTTCCACACTCCGCGACCGCGCGCCTTCGGCTGTGGAGGGCGTCTGAGGTTTCGCGGGGAAGTCCAGGTCGAAGCCACCCAGCCCCAAACTCTTGGAGCTTGGCGCCTCGGGAACCGCGCGGAAGCTCCGGCGGGTTGAGAGAGGCCGTGAAGGCGCGTACGTGCCCGTGGGGCGCCAGGCCCCGCACCGTGCGGGGGGGAGGATGCAAGGCCAAAGGAAAAACTGAGCAACTGTTTCAGACTGAACAAATCACCAAAGCTCTCCCACTACGAACAAAAAGATCACACACAAGATCCGTGTGACACCTCCAGGGCTCGGTCGACACGACAAACACGGTCCGAGGGGCGACGGGGCTCAGAAGATCGCGATGAACTTCTTCGAGGATTCCTCGATCCATCTTCTCCTGGGCCATGAATTTCTGAAGAATTTCGACACATGACATCGACAGCATGACGTCGACAGCATGGAACATGACCCAACAGTTTCTTTGTCTGGTTTTCCACGGTAAAACCGGCGAAGTGGTACCGTGCCTATAGACTTGGGGGGGTGGAAGGTGCACGGCGCACGGGCCCGCTGATGGTCTGAATATGATTATGAGGTGTGGATCAACTCCAGGTGCTTTGTCTAACTTCCTTAGGCCTGGTGCAGCGGACTGCCACGATGGCAAAGAGTCAAGACTTTGTTCCATCAAGGCCCCAGTTACTACTGTACTGCTGTGACAGAAAAGCCTACCTGCCGCTCACCAAGTGGATCATCCAGGTTATTGAATTGTATTTGATCAGTTCTTGTACAAGTAAGCTCCAGGAACTGAGTGTCTTCCGGTGACGCCTTCCCTCTGTTGCAGGCCTCCGAGGAGATTTTGTTTTCCACTTCCTGCTTCAACCTCAGCGGCTGCATCTCTAGCATCAGCTGTTGATGTTTATGAAGCAAATCTTGTCGTGAGGCCTTGAGGCCAAAATTGGTTTCTGCTGTACCATCTTTCAAACAAGCCGAGAGAGATGGAATGGCCTTTTGGGGGGGCCCAAAACCACCAACCGCTCTTCGTCCTTGGCGACGCACCAAACAGCACCGCCACCACTCTCGTGCACGACCAACAAACCAGGACCATCTCTGACCAGACCATCCGCCAAGCGTCTCCTGCATCTCCTCACGGATGCGCTGCTCTAAGTCCTGCAAATCCGTGGAAATCACCATGCGCTGCTCCCCGTGTCAGTCTGTCCAATCCCCGGCAGAAACGGACCGAGGTGCGAAAACCGAGGCCACCGAGGCCATCGAGGCCACCGAGTCGTCGCCCTGGGATCTTCTTCCACTAGACTTTGAGATCCTGATTGAGACATCATCATCTTACCATACCAACATACAAGAAGAACCACGGAGTTCGCATGGCTATTGGAGGGAACATAGAGAGTCAGGCGGTGTCTTTCCACCCGAGCTCCAAGATGCTGGCAAGACCTTCGGAGCTTGTTGACCCTCCTGGTGGCCCCCGCATCTGGGATCACCCCGACGCACTCGGTGGGCTCTGCACATCGGCTTCAATCAGTCTCAAGTGTGATCACCGCCTGGGGGCTAATAACCAAACAAACTCCCAGAAAACTCCGAAAGAAAGCAAAAGCCAACAAAAGCCCGCCGGAGGGGTGGCCATTGCGGCCAATTTCGAAACGATGGAAGATAGTTCTTGTCCCCGAGTTGTTGTAACAACAACTAACACCGATACCAAAAAAGAAACACGCACCAACTGAACACGACAGCCAAAACCAACGACTCCCACCCAAAACCAACCCAACACGCGACAGATTTCTTCAATGCCTTGATCATCTGTAAGAGCTGCGAGTCAGGCCTCCAGTGGGTGTTGGTTGCACTGGTGTTGGTGCAATAAACGCTGGTTGAAAAGGGATATACCTGGATCTTCCAACTTCCAACTGTGACAAATTTATGCCTTTTCATAAAATCAGCCCAAAGGCAGAAATTGGCATAGTTGGAAGATCCAGGTATATCCCTTTTCAACCCATTGACATCCCGAACGCGAACGCGTTGAACATGCACACGTATTCAGCTCGACACTTCTTTCTCAGCTCAAGACTGGCTGGCTTGGTGGGCGTGTGCCTGGAAGGATCAAGGAAATCAAAGCGACCGGAGTTCAGTCCAGGATCGGGTACAGTATATCCCATGGCCAGCAAGAGTGGATGACGATGGTTCAGTTGCAGGCCTTGTTCAACAATCGTGATCATCTTTTGCTGACTGCTACTGGTCATGGGCTACACCCTAGCCCAGGCTGTTCACAGCCACCCGTCCTCCAGCCACTCGTCCGGACCCAGGAAGATCAGCACCCGCTCGGAAGAGTCGGAGTCAGCACCCAGGTCATTGCTTGGTCTAATGCTAATTAGGCAGCTTGCGGATTGGTAAGTATCTCACACCTGAGGATACATTCATCTGTGAAAACACCCCAAGTCGTAACTCTCCGACGTCACCCGAAGTTGCTCAAGGCTTTTTGCAGGGTCGGTACATGGCACATACATGGCGACCCAGTCCGTTCCAACTTAAGGACGACCAGAAAGGAACAGCAGAAAACACCTGCCTTTTCCGGGTCTCCCCCCATCCGGCTCCCCACAGCGCTCGTGGTTCCCAGCGGCCTCGAGCTGTTGGATCCGCTCCGTACACCGTCGGGAATCCAGCTGCGCCTCCCGCGGCGGCAGCGAGGAGGAGGAGGCCAAGTACGACGGTTCACGTCGTCTTACGACGCATGTGTTTTTGGTACAACATGTCAGGACATCTCAAAATGAGACACATAGAATGAGATCATGATTACATACTGTTTTGGGGTGGTTCTTCATTAGACTGACGAAAGCAAGTCTTTAAGCTCCTACATCAAGCTTCTTACGTTTTGCAACTCCGACCAATTTTTCACAAATCCACTTACTCTTCATTCAACCACACTCTCTCTTTCACAAACAAATCCTGGTTACACACTCAACAGGCGAATGAACAAACACAACAACACAATGCCTCTGAATGATGTTCACATCAACGCGATGTGGAAGAGGACTTCATTCGCTTCGCTCTTCCGCCTCCTCTCTGTGGGACGCCCGCCCCCGGAGACGGTACTCCGCGTCGCCTGCTTCACCGTCATCGCCAAGTCGTCCATGCGCTGCGCGTCGCTCGTGGAAGCGAAGGCCGCCAGGCCCTGCGGCGTGCGGGCGGTGTGGCGCGGGTTCGCCCAGTGTGGCGGGAGTGGCGGGGAGGACCAACTTTGGTACCCCATAAGGTTTCAGACCGAGAATCGAGAACTTGTTGTGTTTTCAAACCGAGTTCACTACTGGGAGATGTTGATTGATCGTTGTACGACGCTGCATCGCGCGCCTTTATGATGCGACCTCCGAATGTAGGCGCTTGATGATAATCATTTCAACCCCTCCATTTGGTTTGTAAAAAGTCATCATGTTGAAGGGTTGAAATTTGCATCAAGAGTCTATACATTATGCATCCTAAAAGGACCACACCCACTCTGAGGGACACCCATAGTGTCTGCGGTCTAAAGTCTAAACAGGTCTCCAATCCACTGCATGTTCTGGATGAATCTTTATATTGTGGGAGTGATAGGGCTGTGCGGATGTAAGGGTGGAAGTGAAGCCTCCACATGTTCCCCCAAAACAGCCCCCCAGCAGGGCTCTAGGGGTAAGGTGGAGTCTTAAAACAAATAGACCTGGCCTGAGCCATGTCATTTCCACCAGCACGTCATGCAACGGCCACTCCCAGGGAGTGATACTCAAGAGTTCACATCTACGCTGGTCCAAACTTTGTCCGAAGATGTCTGCCTCCTTGTCTGAACTCATAGATCATGTTTCAACCCCAAGCTTGAAGAGGGTTCTTCAATCCTGCGGGGGTGTTGAACTATGATCAAAGGACCTGAAACATCAATCCATGTCGCCTTGAAACCTCCTGCCGAGGTCCTGCCCTGCGGAACCGAACTGAACTCGGCTCGGCCTTCACGTTGCGCTCCAACCGCGCCACGCGGCTCTCCAACGAGGCGCCGCCGGCGTTGCTGGCGCCGGAACCGGTGGAGCCGGGGCGCCTCGGAGGGTCGGAGGACCGGTACGGTGGGTCTCTGGAGGAAAACAAACACCACCGTGTTTCCATGCTTTTCTATGGTATTTTTCCATGTGTTTCAATATGTCCATGTGTTCCATGTTATATAAGTTATATATGTCGTGTTTTTCCATGTTTTTCCATGTTTCCCCAGCTGGTGGTGACTTTGTAGATATGTGTGTTCTTTCTCAATTATCGTTCTTCCAGCATAAATGGTTGTCTTGGTCCTTCGAAGCCTTGTGGTTATTGAAACTAGTAAAAAGGGTCGAAGCCAAAGAGACAGTGCTGACAGAACGGGCAGTCAAAAACCACATCTGGATATCTTCCAAAAGCGCAGAATAGCTATGGGGTGAGTTATCAGTTATGATCCAAATTGTGCATCTTCTATTCATGTTCGGTTATGATGGCTACACGTACCAAATGAACCGATCCATAGGCATCTAACAGTGTCTTGAAATAGAGGCATCCCATCAGAAACCATTAAAGGGACAACTAAACATACTAAACGTTTCAACAGGACTACCAAACCAAGGAACTATATGAATGAAAAGCACCTTAGCAGCCTTGTCTTCTTCTTCAAAGGCAAGCACCCATCTATCTGATGTCTTTCCCTCCTTCCTTTGGGATGGACACCACTCGTCCCAGCCCACTCGTCCCGGACGCCCGCCTCTGCTCCTCTTTGGGCTCGGAATCCGCAGCTTCCGAAGGCGCCTCAGGCCCGGATGTCCGGATGCGGTACCGGTACCGCGCATCCGGAGTGTTCCAAAGACAAGGAGAGTCCAGACCCAGTCAGTAAGAGAAAGTGTCCGGAACCTCTAACCTAGTAGCTTCTTGTTACTAGTAGCTATTTGCTACTAGTAGTAGTGCCCGTGTTACTAGTAGCGATGCCCTTTGCTACTAGTAGCTTCTTGACACTAGGTTCCTGTGGAGGCTCCTCCAGATGGCTTGTTGATGCTTTTTGTCTCATGCAACGCCACACAAATACCCACCAAATGAATCCAAATGATACGTACCCCGACAAAACATGTTGCTCTCTTCGAGCAAGGCCATGAGACTTCACCCTACATCTCCCGGAGCAAGTGACGTGCCTGCAGCGCTCCAAATGCTAAGGCAGCAATCCGCTCCTTCAAAGATCTTTGTGCATCTCATGGCAAGTGTGGACTTTCCCATTATAAAATAATTAGGCATGAAGCGTGAAGTGCACTCAACTACAAATGAACACCTTGGGTATATCCCGTCCCCTGTAACAGTGGATGGTAATCTTTATCGACTGTTACCGGTCATGGGACACACACACACACACACATGCAACGAACACCTAGTTTTGCAAGATTTAGAGTTGAAGTCCATTCGACATCAGCTCTCGCAAACCAGGTCATTCCGCTGGAATCTTCCAGCTCAGAATTCAGAATCCAACCACACGTTTCTGACTTCCACGCTCTACCAAATATCATCAAACAGCCGGTCCAAAATCATTGAACCTACGCTTCAGGGATCGTAAATCCTCCTAGCAGTAACAAATGATGATGGTTCAGTCGCAGGCCTTGTTCCGGCGTGACGTTCGTTGTTCACACCCTTTCAACGTTCTGTTGCAGGTTTACGACTGGACACACCCGGTCTACTCATCTCTGCATCCACACCGGTCTACTCCCGCACCTCACAGATGCGAAGTCGTTCCCCCATGCTGGCGGCATGGACCTGGCCGTCACGCGAAGGTTGGTCCGTCTTCCTCTCCATTTCGGACGAGCAAGGAACAGAAGCTGCAACTGTTTGGTGGTTCCGTGGGTCCCAGTGGGTCCCATCGGTTGCTTCATGCTTCACAATGGCTGATCTGAGAGCATAGCTGTTTAGTGAGCATAGCTGATCTGAGAACAGATGGGAGCCTCGTCACAGCGGTCACACCCGTCACATCCAACCCTCATCACACTCGCGCGCGAGCGCTGGCTCGTTCTCGATGCCTGCAAGAGCTGTGAGAGCTCCTCACCGGTGTCGCCCAAACGTTGTTGCAAGGACAGCTGCAGCGTCTGAACCTCGCGGTCAACCGGGATGGGGCAGGGAGCTATACAAACGATAAAACGGGGATTAGAAGGTCCAAAAGGAGGCCAAACCTATTTATTGGCAAGCGAGGTTAAAGCGAGTGGCGGTAGGTGGTTTTGGGGTTTAATTATCATCCTCTCAGATGAAGGAACAACACCTTGGGGAAAGAGAATCGGGCATGGTAATTCAGTGGAAAGGGCTTTTCGTTGGCCACACCTTGTCCTCGAGAAGACTTTCAAAGCTTTCTCTCAAGTCCTGCAATGCAGCACTGCCGAGGCATCCAAGGCTCTAAGGCTCGAAAGAAGTTCGTCGGTGTTCAAACCTTTCTGATTGAAAATCAGTGTTAGGAGTTCCCGAGCTCCTTTCGTGGTCTGCTAGAAGTCTCCAGATGTTGATTCCAATATGTCGAAGCAAGTGAACCATGGATCGCCGGGTTTCATCAGCTATCCATCTCCTGTTTCATGGCTTCCACGTAGCTCGCATCCACAGGGGCCTGGGCCAGCTCAAGTCCGCAAATGAACATCACGTTATTCCTGTGAAAGTAAGCATCCAACTATAAGCAGTTCATTCTGGACTCATTGCAGGAAAAAATTGAAAAACTTTCGTTATTCAAGTTGGCCCATCATGGCCCATCTATGCTCATCTGCTCCACCCATCGAATTCCTTCAACCACCGGTGGTGCAGTCACAGGTGACCCCACCGCAGCTGCGCTCTTTGAGACGTCTCCGGTCTGGCGGAGGCGGACCAACACCGGTCCAACGGTTCGGATCTTCCACCGGTCCAAACGTTTCGGTCGAGGTCGACATGCGCTTCGCCTCTTCACCGCTGTTGCGTGTGGGTGTCAGAGGGGTGCTTTGGTGCCAAAAGGATTGTGAACATGCAATGCAGTCAGCTGACATTGAAAACAGAAAACTGTACTCAAGCAATACCCAGACACTCCATGTATGGTACCATTCATGGAGTGTCTGGGAAAATCTGGCAAGATTGAGAGTTTCACAAATCACTGGCGGCCTCCATCTCTCGACGTAACAGCTGCTCTTCTCGCCACAAGTCAACACGGCGCTCCAGCCTGAAGACGTGGGTAGACCCCCAAATCCACAGAACGGAACCCTGATCTCGGTTCACACTTCACTTCCTCCGACTCGCCGTGCCATTGAGCCCAGTGCCCACCAACCAGTCCAACTCCTGGGCCCTCGAAGCCAAACAACCAATCACTGCGAACACCTGGGCCATCCTAGCGCACGCATCTGCTCTGCCAGGTCGCCAGACCTCACGTTCACGCACCACGGATGCTGGAGAACCGAACCCCACACGACGGAACTGCGCACGACGGGAAGCTCGCGAAGCGAAGCGAGCCACCGTTTCCTTGGTTTCCGAAAAGACGTCCGTGAAAGACGTCCGCTGGGAACTCGCAAGCTCTGTGAGTGAAAGACTTTGGAACGAGCAACCTTCTTCGTCCGATTTCGGATCGACATCCATCGTACCAGAAACAGAGTGTTTCTCTGATCCACATCCATCGACCACGTCTTCAAGGAGTTCCAAAAGAAAAAAACACACACCGCCGCGCGTCGCTGAGATGTCCCCAAATGGTCCCAGCAAGTTCGGTGAATCGAACGTCCAAAGGTGAAGAAGCCGGCTGACCCGACCGCCCTTCCACCGCCCTTCCACCGCCCTTCCCCCAACACTACTAGGACCCAGAAGGCTATACTATGACCTGCGTTTTCTGCGTGTTCATGGCCAATCACCGGCTCGACCCGCTTCGTGCGGAAAGACATGCCGGCTCGGCTCGGTGGAGTCGTGCCTGGAGGGACCGGGGCTGCGGCGCTGCTTCGCGTTCGATGGGAAAGAAATGATCCGTGACCCCCAAAAAGGAGGCCATGATTCGTGATCCTGCCATTTTTTGGGGAGAGAAACGATGGAGAACTGTGCTTTTTTGATATCGCACTCAGGCACAAAATGAGTCTTGGCACAGTTCGCCGGGCACACAAAGCAGATGCTTCTGTGTCTCCCAAAGGCTCATTGGACCCTCAGTTCGCTAGGGTTTTGACCCTCACAACTAGGGTGACATGGACCGAAGCAACATGTAGCAGTTGGTTCGAGTCCATGAGCCTCTGTGTCTGGAAAAAAAAGGCTGTTCTTCCGCGCGAGCGACGGAGAGAAAGACCGATTCGGGGTGGCACCTCGCATCCGGCAGGGAGGAGCCCTGATCGGTGGCAGAGAACGTCCGACGTCCGAGTGGCTTCGATGAGCCCGAGCCCAAACTCACCCAGGTCGAAAGAAATCTTCAAGGAAGACTGAGTGAGGAAGAGTTTGGCAGACACTTGTTTCAGGTAGACTGAGTGAGAAATACTACGTTCTTCATCTCGCCCCTCACGGCGAACCCGCGACCTCCAAGGTCTCCAGGCGCCGGCGCAGGTCGCGCGTCTCGCCACGGAGCTCCTGGCGCTCGGCCGCGACCGCGGAGCTCGGCGCGGAGCTCGGCTCGGTGGGGGGGGGGGGCAAGGAAGGTCTACAGAGGGAGAAAGCAGAGCCCACCTGCAGAAGAGGGTAAGTGAAGACTTCCTCCAGGGGAAGTGAAGACTTCCTGGGTTCACTTCCAACCCTCTGGACTTTACAAACTGACTCAATGGACCCTCCATTCACTTTCAGATCTTCCAGTTGCCTTAGTTTCTGGAAAGAGGTCCCGTGAAGAAACCGGTGTTCAGACACCCTCCAGACTTCTAGACCTTCCGCGCGACCCAGACACCCTTCCGGCGCGCGCGTCCTGCGCTTGAGACTCCCATTGCTGTTTCTCCGCCTGTCCAAAACACAGCCAGTTCGCTTCAGCTCTCGGCGCCGCCACAAGACGTGGACCAACGCGGACACGCGGACACGCTCGGGTGAAAGAAGACATGCGGTGACATGCAGGAGGCCTCCAAGTTGCTAGCAAAGCCCCTCACCACCTGGAGTGAACAGCGGCCAAATCCAAGCTATCAGTGCTAGTTCACTTCTCTTGTTTCTCTTTTTGAGTGGAAGAAACACATCGTCTTCGCTTGAATCATCACCCCGTGCCCCAATCAATAGGCGTATAAGTAGCATGGTGAAGGCGTTTTTTCACCCTAGGACCCTGCTACACTGTGGCTGTCACCCTGTGGCTGTCGCTTGGTACGTCTCTCTGAGATCCCAAGCGCTGTGCAGCCAACTTACAACGCCTTGCCTCGGGCGCAGGGGGAATGTACACTCCCTGGAATCGCCAACGTGGAGAACGCGTGTGGCCCCCGAGTTTGGAGGACCATGTTCGTCTACAAACAGGTGGTGAACTCCACTTCCATGATTCGTTCGGAGCGTAGATCACTGATGCGTGGTGCCTCTCTCACATCTGCAGGTGTCCAAATGCCCGAAAATGACATCAATCACATGCATGCCTTATATAAGTATATAGTGGTGACTATAAGTGACTATCCCATCATTGCAACCGTTCGTTCCAAGTTTCTCACCCACCCGACCCCGCCACCGCACGACGCCCCACGGTCAGCTCTCTGCGGTCTCCCCAGGTGGTCCGGCAGACCGGAGCTCTTGAGCGTCACCAAGGGCTCTCCAAGGCTGGGCCTTAGGGCTCTTGCCGAGCCGGTGGTCGGTGGAGACAGGTTCTGCTGGGGTTTAGCCGTGTTCGGAAGTTGGGATGAAGGTCGGTTTGGGCGACGCGTGTGGGTGCTCAGCCCAAATGGAGGTAGTTGCGACACAGAACAAGTAGGTTGTTGTGAGAGCTTTGGGTCTGAGCTTGTACTTCGTCAGCACCAACACCTCCTTCAAGACTCTGGGGTGCTGTTTCTCAGACTTTGACCTATCGCCTATTGCCTCAGAGAAGACGGAAGACATATGGATCTCAACATATCTCATACGCAAAGGGCATGGATGGTCGGCCGTTTTGCTCGTGCAGCAGTGAAACCATTGCTGTTCCTCCAGTGGAGAATGAGGAACGGCAGCCCAATCTGCGCGCGGCCCGGATCGCTGATTGCATCACCAGGGTGGCCTTCAGCGCTACTCCCAAGCATGTTGGGAAGCGAAGTCGACCCATCGAAGATCATTGCACAAAAAAACACTTTAAATGACCTACAATATCCAGCGTTCATGATTGGTCATCTAACCAAGACCGATCCATCCTTTTCATGGTGCTTCTACTGGTGTTTCTCCTATATAGATATATACGCATATGTCTCTACCGACCTCGATGTGACACCGAGCGCTGGCCACCCCGGTCGTTTCGCCGACGGTCAGCGACGCAACCAGGACGGAGGAGTCGCGCGGCTCACGAGGACTCCCAACAGCAAGGACACGGACCTCGGTGGGTTTGGCCGGGAACCTGGACAACGCTATGAGTTCATTTGAGTGGTTCATTTGAGTTAAGGTAATACATCATCTTGGTACATGCCAGTCTTATTTCAAGAAGTAGAGTCCAAAGAGTGACAACTGTCTAGATTTGGGTCCCCAAGTCACCATCCTCTTTCCGTCCTGTTCTTTTCCATCGACGGCCGACGTAGAACATGTGGTCCCTCCCCTCCCCAGTCTAACAATCGATCGGTGGATTCCTTCGGAGAAAAAGCAAAGAAAGGCACCGCTACTCTCCGGTCCAGTGGCATGAGTGAAATCAACGATAGACTCGAAGGAGAGGAGAATTTCCAGCTCGAAAGGCCAGAAAGTCCACTGGCCACATGTGTCGCGACATGTGTCGCGACACCTGTGGTCTCAGGTGGAAAGTTGTAAGTTTTGTAGAAGTCTCACCTAAAGTGACCACACCATGGGTGTGTGTGTGTGTGTGTTAACACCTGTCCCTAAGGTTTGTACCTGGTAAGTCTGCCGTAGGTTCCACTAGAAGGCTGGGTGCTACTAGTAGCTTCTGGCCTTACTACTAGGAACCAAACAGAAACAAACACAGCGCGAGTCAAAAAAAAAGAGGCAGGGGGTAGCGGCAGATCATTTGGGACCGCTACCAACGGAGACGCCCACTTGATCTGGTGAACATCAGAGTTGGCCACTCTGACGTATCTGCTGCATCTCTTTGAACGGTTTTTCAAGCTGTCCACTGCGGTGTTTTGCATTAGGCAGTTCGTACTCACAAAACAAAATGTTCAACATCTTCAAGTTCTCGGACTCCGCCACCTTTCGGTTATTGCATTTTCCCGTTCACCAAGTCAAGGGGGACTTCATTCTGATCCTAGCTCTTGCGAGCAACCATCTAAGTGTGTGTTTCTTTTTTGGAACCCCTACTGAAATTAGACCAAGGACTTCTTCCTTATAAACCTGCTTGAATGATCTTTAATGCTTGTTTTGGTCATTGGGGTTCGGCACTGCGCCTGAAAGCATTTGAGAGGTCGAAGGACCTTCCACCTCACTGAGAAGCCACTCGCTCAAGGACTTCCGGGGCCTCTCCTCTTCATCCGGAGGTCTGGGCACCACGGGTAGATCTTCGAAGCGGCTGTCGTATCCGTCGTGCTCCGGCGGCGGCTTCTGCGAGCTGGCGAAATCCAAGGCACGCTGCAAGTCCTGGCTGCCAAAGGAATGCGGCGAAGCGGCGAGACCGGACGGCGACTCAGAGGGACTTCGATTTGAAGTGCCCGAAAGCCAGTCGTCGTCGTCGTCGTCCGAACGACTGGCTCGACCCACGACGTTTCACGACTGGAGGCGGGGTGAAGGCCCGGTCGCGACGCAGGTCCCCTCGATTCCAGCGGCCGATGGCCGGTCCTGCAGCAGATCCCGGACGTCCTCGATACCCACGGAGAGGCGCACCAGGTCGGCGGGCAGAGTGCGTTCCTCTGCCGGGATGGAGGCGTGGCTCATGGTGCAGGGCATCTCGCCCAAGCTGTTGACCGACCCAAAGGACACCTGGGGGCGGCGGAAGATAGCGGAAGCAAAAAGAAAGCGGAAAAAGCAGATCCAGGACAACAGATCCTGGAAGAACTGAAGAACGAAGAAGACATTCCATATGTCCGTTCTGCATAGCTTCACCCAGTTAGTGGAGGAAAGCATGCCCTCCTTTTGGCGTACGTGGAGACGGAGGATCAGCGCCACTTCGTGGGTGGGCCACTCGTCACTCAGTCGGAACCTGAACCTCACCACACTTGAAGCAAATCCTCACCACACTTCGACCCTGTTACCGGTGAGGTCCGGCACTGAATTCCTGTCTTCGATCCAGCCCAAACCTCGCGTGGACACACGCCCAAGGCGCGGTGGTCTTAAAGAGCCTCGAGGCGTCGAGGAAGCGGCGCGAGAAGGAGACCGAGCCGGTGGTGAAGCTGATGATGCAACCGCAACCGGAGCTCTGAGAGTTGTGGATGCGCAGTGCTTCACTGCTACAGCCACCGGGACCTGGGTAGAAGACTTCCTGGAGAGGGAGGAAGGTTTAGAGACCAAAGGATGAGAAAAAGAACACCTGGCCTGGCATGAGAGAATATGATATGAGCTCTTCCTATGGGCTTCGGGGGAGTTGCCACCTCATGAGGTTAGAGTATTTGTATTTCCCACGAACTCAGAAAAACCTTTGGGGTCCACGAAGAGTCATAGACAGAACAAGTGCTGGAGTATCAAACGGTCATGGAAGTGGAACGGTGGGCCCCTTTGGGAATTCCCAAAGGCTTGCGCCTTCTCTTCCCTTCCAATCACATCGGATTCATCGAATCGTCTGGCCACATCAGCCGCATCTTCACAACGAATCCCAACGATCTGAAGCAAAGTTTCGACCGGACCTTCTGAACCGTTTGGCGTGACCGATCTGGATCGCAGAGTTCGGTCCTTGATCCTGGGATGCTTCGCGAGAGCCTTGGCGATCTGCACGGTGTTCTCCTGCGCACGGTTCACGCGGAGCCACATGGTTTTGATGCCGCGCAGGAACAAGAAGCACTCGAAGGGTGCCAAGGCGGTTCCCTCCGCGTTCTGCAGGAAGGCCACACGATGCGCCAGCTCGGGATCGCGCACGCAGACCAAGCCTGATCCATGGGTCGCCGGTCGCGCGGTTCCGGGTTGAAGTAAAGAATAAAGAAGGACTTGCTGCAAAAGGACTGGTTTTGCGAGCTGTTTTGGGATTGGGTTTTCCCCTCTGTGTTGGACATTCTTGGAACCCTATAGTCTTCAAACCATTTGGAGCAGAGCTATATAATTCAACTGAATTGTTCTCTGACCCCCCTGCAAAAAATAAACAGCTCCTCCCGTGCAATCCGCATGCCCGGAGAAGAACTTCGTCGCGGAGTGCACTACAAGATCCACCCCCAAGAGCAGCGGTTGGCAAATCACGGGGGGGCATCATCGTGCTATCCACTGAGAGCAAGACTTTATGCTGATGGGCCAAGGTGGCCAATTTGCGCAAGTCTGAGATCTTCATGCGTGGATTGGAAGGGCTTTCAGTATGAATGATCTTGGTCTTGGGAGTGATGGCCTTCGCAACTGCCGTCAAGTTTGTGGTATCCACAAAGGTGACTTGAACACCGTTGTGCGCACAATCTTGGGTCAGCAAACGATGCATCCCACCATAGATGTCCTCATTGACCAAGATTTCATCACCCTGCTTCAGCAAACGTGTCACGGTATGCAAGGCAGCCATTCCAGAGGAGAATGCAAACGCTGCAGCTGCATGCTCCAACATGGCCACATGCTTCTCCAAGGCCGTTCGCGTGGGATTCCCACTGCGGGTGTAATCATAGGGCCCGAACTCGCTGGAGGACGGCTGCACAAAGGTGGAGGTTTGATAAATCGGCGTATTGGAGGGATGATACGGATCCTCTGGGCCAAAAAACATCACAAGAGACATGTGAGTCCACATTAATAGGTCTTCGTTTTCACAGTTGACTTTAATGGGTCGCTCTTACGGATCCTCTGGACACCCATCGAAGACCACGCATTGACTCGCCGGCTGCAGCGCGTTCTCGAAGCCCGCGAAGTTGGGCCGCACCGGGAAGGTGGGCAGGTCGTCGTAGCGACAGCGGCGGGTCTCCTGTGGAATCGTGCGGCGGTAGCGGTGTTTCCGCGCAGCTCTCGGTTGGTGAAACGGCGGCTTTGCGAAAGAAATCTCGGGAGCTCATTCAGGCTCATATTCCCTTATTCCCTACCAAGCACCAGTTAGGGAAGGATTTGTTCCAAGCCATTTCAGCGCCGTACAGCGTTGCGCAAGCCGCAAGCCGTTGCTTTTCCGTGGGCTTGACACAGTGTGACCCTCGTTAAACGGTGCAAGATAGCGCAAGCTGTGCGGATATGCAGAATGCTTGTGGGTGGGATCCAGGCTTGAACAAAAAAGACCAATCCTTAAACCCTTATAAAGACAATGACCTGAACTCACTTGTCCACTTCACGTTTTGCCATGCCGCGCGCCTGAGGATATCGGATCTGACTGAAGTCGATGGAGTCGCCGATGGACCCGCGCACACGTTCCAACTTCTCGGTCTTCGCCGAGTGGTCACCGGAGTGGTCGCCACTTCCGTCCGCCTTCCAGGAACGCCACATGGCATTCTCGATCCGCGCTGCATCCACCTCGAGTGGACCCGCGCATCCGCGCGAGCAAATCCACGGTGTGGCTTCGGAGGCAAAAAGCCAATCCACGGTGTGGCTTCCGGACCGCCGTGAAGCACGAGTCATGTGTATAGTGCGTTTGAGGAAGTCCAAATTACGCTTCGGAGTCATGCCTATTCCTCCCAAACCGGTTTGGGCCGTGGAAACTCGGCTTTTGGGAGGTCACCTCGAGCCTGGCACCCCTTCTTCCGCTGCCCACCCACCTTTACCGATGCTGTGCAGAGGCTCATGGACTCTCAAACTGCTACATGTTCAAGGTCCAAAACTGTCCAAAACCCTAAGTTGTGAGGGTCAAAGCCCTAGCTATGAGGGTCCAATGAGCCCTTGGGGGGGGGGGGAAGAATTGACCAGCTACCAGGACACCCTGTTTGGGGTTTCCATGGATAGCTCCTTAGAGGTTAAGGCTTAATCCACGCACCACCCCGACAGTGGGTACTGGTATGATGCTTACAAATGGAGATGAAATGAACATTGCCAGCTATTTTTCGAGTGGCCGTGGATTTGACGAGAAAAACCGCGTCCCGCACCATCTCGCCGATCGCCCTGGCTTGACGCCTTCTTCTCCCGATGTCCGAACCGATGTCGACCAGGGGGGTTGATGGCGTTCACTGGGAGGTGTCTCCCTATTAAAAAACACACACACCCAACTACACACCCATGATAGTATCATTATAGCGATATATTTCAGTTTCACGGTGCTCATCGAGCGAGCCGATGTTCGGTTTGCACCTCCTCCTGGAACTCCAGCTGGCCTTTCGCCATGGGCAAGGAGACACCGCTACGCTAGACGCGCGGCGGAAGGGAGGATAGGCCGCGCCGGTGGATGCGAAGAGAGATCTCTGAAAAGAGATCTACCAAACTCTTCATGTCCCATCTGGTGTGTCTGTGTGCGTCTCTTCACTGTCCATTCACGGTTCGCTCGCTGTATCTGTGAGTGATGTTGGATTGCTGTGTCCGTCACTCAAGGCAGTGAAACTGCTTCGTCCAAATCGCTCGCAGCAAGATGTGTCCGGTCTCAGTCTTGAGCCGTTGAGCCGCCCAAAAAGCACAGGAAAAACATAGAAAAACACAGTCCCAGAGGCTCATGGACTCGAACCAACTGCTACATGTTGCTTCGGTCCATGTCACCCTAGTTGTGAGGGTCAAAGCCCTAGCTGCCCTGAGGGTCCAATGAGCCTTTGGGGTCACACAATTGGTGTATGTGTCACAACTGCCCCGAGTCCTTCGGACCAGAATCCAGCGCACCCAGTCCTTCGCCCCCAAGGTCCGTCCTGGAGCCCCTGCTTCGACCTGTCTTTGGTCTGACGAGTCCGATCCCCCCTGACGAGTCCGTTGGTCAGAGTCACCCCTTCCAAAAATAGGACCAAGAAGTTCGCTACTAGATTGGAGGCCATGGATCTACTAGGGTGGAGGCCATCGCTAGTCCATTACTACTAGGTTGGAGGCCATCGCTAGTAGGTTGGAGGCCATTACCAGCAAAAGCTAGCTACGCTACGACCTGCCAGGTCTCCGACCGTCCGTCTTCGGCTCCCCGGCGGCGAATGGATCCGCGGATGCGCCATGGCCGGAACAGCCGCGCCGCGCCGCCGCGGTTGGCGCCCGCGGTTCGTTCTGGGGAGAGACGACACGGGAGAAGGTCTGGAGGGGGTTTTACGACACGGAGGGTTCTGGGAGAAGGAAGATCCCTTCCCTTTTTTTTCACGTTTTGAAAAGGGAAGCAACATGCGGCAGCCATCTCAGCGGGCCCTCCTGCATGTCACATGGGGCAAGTCATGTCACGTCATGTCTCAAGAACCGGAAATCATACCACTCTGTGAGTGATGCAGAGATTGTGAGAGGAACCATGGTATGATTCTTTGGAACGTCATCCATGGTTGGACCAGCCCCTTCACCCACCCAGGCTCGTGGATCGCGTTCGTCTGCACGGGGTCGGGTCACAAGCTGGTCGTGTCTCGTTTCGTGTGACCAAAAGCAATCAAAAATGCCTTCGTCTGAGCGGTCGAAAGGCATCTGACCAAGGCTCTGAAGACGCGTCCTTTTTCAACCGGCCACTGCTTCGGAAGAGCTAAAAGTAAGAATGCCAGGAGCTGCATATCTGTCGCAAAGGGTTCAAACTCTTTCTGGCTTGGGCTTGACATGTTCTGGGATGCAGGGCTCTCATTCACCTAAAAACAACCCCTGTTCTGATGATTTCCGAAGGCAGCTCTACTCCTATCAGTTGCTTCATCCTCAAAAATACTGAAACTGCTCTATCAGCGTGAAGATGCGCGAAGCTACACACAGAATGCCCTCAATGGCACCAAGGGTGCCGCGAGCTCGTGGGCAAGACAACTAACTCATGATATGCTTGTTGGTCCAGAGCGGTATCAGAGTGGGACCCACTCGATTTACATTCTGAGATGTTGCTATCATGAATATTTCATTATGATTCTGAACCATGATGCTAAAACAGGGTTTGCGCCAAGACCTCTGCCGGGTGTTTGCCACACACCCGAATGGTTCCGGAACACCACGATGGACAAGTAACTGGCCATGAAGGGCAAGTGCAGGGCTCAGCACGATACAAGCATTGGCAGTGACATCATCAGCAAAAGCTTTATGGAACTTTTACATACTTTTACAGCTTGTGCTTTGATCTGGGTGGTCTATTGAAATTCGGGAAACTTCAAGAAGGAAGCAAATTCTAGTTCCTATTCTCCCCACAGAATCACACTTGTTACAGGTTGGCCATGGGTGCTCACACCGTTCCAATCCTTCGTTCCAATCCTCCTCTAGCAGGTTGGAGGCCATCGCTATCCTTCTCTCTGTTTTGGATCTGCCGGTGCAACTTCACACCTTCACACAACCGAAGCCGGCTGTGAGCCTCAGACTTCACCGAAGACTTCTCAGTGGTGATGGTCCTGCGCAGGGCTCTTTTCGCGTTTTTCTCGGTTTTCAATTTCTTTACGTGTAAAAGACATGGCCCCCCCAGATCGATTTCGAGATGTTTCTTGGAGTCTGTTTGGGTGAAAAACCAGACAAATCAATCCAAAGAGGATGATAGATCGATCGACTTAGATATCACCATAAAAAACCGCGAGACTCAGCCCTCTCGCCCAGTAACGTTGCTTCACCCTGTTTCACCTCCTGCGGCACCCCCAAAACGGTGCCGAAACCTTCCTTCCACCTACATCGGTGCCAGAGGTCTTCGATGGCAGTTGAGTTGAAAGGACAGGAAGATTGGTGGTGGAAAAGCTTCTGCAACAGCTTCTCTGGCACACTGAATCAACTGAATTTCATCGTGAATTCTGGAGGACTGCGCCCAGTCAGGCAGCCAATGCGACCCTCTGATGGTCAACTCAGTACGCCTCCAGAGTGATGTCCAATCCAGCGTAGCCCCACTTGTGTGCACGACGTTGGCACATCATGTGGGAGTAGTGGTGGTGATCGAAGTAGATGCCTCCACACGCGATCGAAGTAGAGGCAGATCCATACAAACACAAAAAGGCTCTCTGAGGATCTGCTAGAGGAGTCACAGTGAGGGTCCAGAAAACATGCTAGATGCCCTGAGACAGTAGATTCTTCTGCTCCTTCTCTTGATCTTGGGCCTTCAAGAACACTCGCAAACTCAACTCCAGCCCCCGGTGTAGCAACAAACAAAAAGAAGAACACACACACCAAGAACAAAGAAGAAGCACGAGGTTCGACCGGATTTCCGCGCCGTAATAGAAATCGTTGAAGTTCTTCCAGTACTCCTCACGGTCCATGAAGATCTCGTTGGGCTCACGCCTCGTCGGCGCTTCTTCCGTCGAGCGGGACCGCCCGCCCGAGGCGTGTGGCTCCCTTGTTTTCGGATGGCGAGTGATGATTTGTTCAAGGAGATTCTTTGGTGCCATTGGTGAAACAAAAACGGTGACACTATAGCCTATAGTGCCTATAGCTTTTGGACTAGCTTTTGGCATATTAGGTGTGGCGGCATCACTCGGAAGTCGGAGCAACCGGGCCCCTGAGGGTACCATCTGGCATGCGCACGACCCCGACTCTGTCAAAAAGAGGGGGAATATCTTGTGCCATCACGCGTCCAATCAACGCCATCCACCAAATCAGTACCTGGAATGAAGAGGTGACGTTTTTCTCAGAAAAAACGTCACCTATTCATGCCAAACAACTATCTGAGTCGGCTGATCCTATAGCAGTCGGCTATGCGGAATGAGATCCATCGCTCCTTTGCTCGGTCGACGGCTCGGCTCGGGACATGCGACGGCTCAAAGGTCAAGTGCCGGGAGAGTCGGTGTTCCTCTCTCATCCTGATCTACTGAGAAAGACGCCCTAAACAACGTGACGAACTGAAAAGGGTTTTCCGAGTCTCCTCATGTCCGACAGTTACATCAGCACTCTCTCCCTCTCTGTTTCAATATTCCTGACACCCTTTGAAGCAGTTACCCCCCTTATGCCACGTCATCCGCCTGTGCTCAAGCCAGACGAAGAACATGGTCACGGACACTGGCGTCTTAGAGGACACACAGGCTTCGTGGCTTCTCCGATTCGACGTCGTCTTGGGACCGTCGTTCAAGGCTTTGACAGGTGAATGTTGCTAGTAGAAACAAGTGCCTTACTGCTATTAACAAGTGCCTTACTGGTAGTAACAAGAAGCTACTAGAAACAAGTGCATCGCTACTAGTAACAAGTGCCTTACTAGTAGTAACAAGAAGCTACTAGA